ATTTGTATGCACCTGTCCTAAGTCGGGAGCCTGTTTCCAGTGGTTGTCGTTTGTTGGTGTGGTTCATAAGTGTTTCTCGTTTCTCGTTTTTATATAGATAAGACCGTTGGTTTTCCTGTTTGAATTGTTTTACACTAGTCTTTTTAGGGCCCTTTATAGCTTGCTGTTCGGTGTTAGCCAAGGCTCAGTGTTGAAGGTCGTACTTTGACCTATAATTGTTTACTTTTTACACATTGTGACTTGGATGGATATATAGTTGTCTCATTGGCAATCATACCACATCTTCTTATCTATATTCATTAAATCAAAAAGAAAACACGAAAAACGTATGTTTGAAAATAGAGATAATACATATGAAAAACATATGTTTAGGACAAATGAAAATCATATGTTTACAAATATGAAAAGTTTTCAATATGAATTTTAAAAACATATGTTTTTCATATGTTTCTCATATGTTCAAAAACATATGTGTCCATACCGGTCCCAAACATATGTTTCCATACCGGACCTAAACATATGTTTCCATACCGGTCCTAAACATATGTTTCCATACCGGTCCTAAACATATGTTTCCATACGTTTTAAAATATATGAAAAACATATTGAAACATATGTTGCAATTTTTCCTATGTATAGCATTTTTCCATTCTTAATATAGCTCAAAGTTCAAAGTTCTTTATTTCTAATTGATTAATTAAAATTCACATCAAGTGGATGAGATTATCGTATGATATATGTCATGCATATGATCATATTTAAAAGCACAACATAAAAAAATATGTTATCATAATAATTATTAGTTTTTTTTTCAAATCAGTGCAGAGTATTTTCAAAGTCTTATATCTTTGATTTTACTGACATGCCAGAGTGATAACACAAACATTGTAATCAATTTATCAGACAGTTTGCAGTATTTTTAGACACTGTGGTAACCTCCTCGTGAGTAGTGCACAAAAGTAATTTATCTATCACTTTAATGCAAAAGGTTTAAGCATCTCTTTGCATAAATATAATCATTATGATACCTTTTACGACCGCGTTTATTATTATTATTCGGTTCTTTTACGACACTTTCTATAGTAGCAATCATGGTAATAGCATGGAAGAGTATTATATTGACAGGAATAACACCAACGCCAGTTCAAAGGTTTCATTCTGCGTTAACGCCTATCTTGTACAAAAAATATGTTTCGACCCCCTTTTCTTAAATACGAATAATCAAAGTCTTTCGTAATACCAGTCAATTGAAATATTCACAATTCTAAACGTTTCTATTCTTTAATTTGTACATAACGTTGAACTTTATACTTTGAACTCGTTAGTAAAAAGTGTTTTTTTTTTTATCTTCTATCTCGCCGGATGGACAATGAATATACAATCTCTAATGTCTGATAGTACCTTGATATCTTCATGACTCAATTTGAAGTCTATGAGCTGATATTCTGAATCTGGTGAATATTCTTCTCTGTCCAAAATCTTTTATAATTGTTAAATAATTTTCAAATCTAAAAAGTATATTTAAACAAAACGCATTTGACTAACAGGTAGAACAACGGATGTTTTTAAACCCTGCTGACTGCCATTGGCGATTGCCAAATAAACGGATCATAAGATGTAACAAAATGGATCTTTATTATTAATTTAATACCAAACAGAAAATAATAAACTTGCGGAAAAGATGGTATACCGCAAACATGAGGTGCAAAAATTTGTACACCATATCCGGATTTCGACAATTAATGTCTCTTCAGTGATGTTAGGAATCGAAACGGTATTTGGAAGGCCATATAATTTACCTCGATTTAGGATAGACTCATGAATTTTGAAGAGTCGAAATAGGATGAACGGATCATATAAACCCGAAGGCAAATATAATACATGCCCAAACGAAAAAATATCTATAAATAAGTCTAAATTGAAAACAACGTTCAAACCTATGATTGCGTTGGATAAAAACCGCAATTTTTATACGTGTGCATGCAAAACAAATTTCTTGGTAGAGGGGTCTAAATACAGCACAAACAACATTTTCCAAAAGACCAAAAAAGTGAAAAAGTATATTTAAACAAAACGCATTTACTAACAGGTCTATATATAGGTATATGTAAACAAAGACCGGTTTGGGCAAACTAACCACAGTTTATAAAGCATATTTCAAATTTCAAATAAAGCAAGAAATATACAATACATGTACAAATGTATATGCATGATAAACAAAATGTCTAACTGAAATGAATAACTGAAAGTGTAAGTCAAACTGTGGTTCTCTAATTGAAATATCCCAAACCTGTTAGTAGGGGTACGAAAAAAAAAGAATAGATAAAATTAAAAAAATAAAAATAAATAAAAATTGAAAAATTGGTAAAAACAAAATATAAACAATGTAACACCAAATTTACTGATAATACACAAAAGTACACGTATTAGAAGCAGTCCGATCTGTACCATACAAAATGTCTATACAAATGGTACCAACACAAATATATATACAAGTCCAACAATAGACGTCCATAAATTCAGTAGAGATGAAGGTCACTATTTATTATGAAAAGTGTCTATTTCAACCATGCCATATCAGACTTTGCGGTATATTAATACAATTCTGCAGTGCATGACAAGACCCTTATAAATGCTATCTTAATTTAGGCAACATTAAAAAGAGCACATATTTTATATACATGTACAAAACACAAACTTACAGATAATAGAAATAATCAAAGTTTTTTCATGATATGCTTTGCAAAAGTATCCATAACTATGTGCCTATGGTCAAGGGAAGGGTCTATATAGCGTTTGTAAGCATCACTTTTCTAGTCTCCCTAAGCCTGTATTAACTCCGTAGGAATGCCACATTCAAGCGCAAAAGACGCACCGCCTCTGGCCAGAGAACTGATGCCCAGTTAATTTACCTTGTGAGACATACATAAAGGCTGAAGACAGGGGGAAGCCTGCTGTAGGGGTAATCTTAAAAAAAGTAGCAGGGCTTGGCTGGACAAAGTGGGGAACCAGGAATTCTGGGCAAAGGGATTTCAAGAAGTCGCTCCTTGTTTTGAATAGTTTTTGGACTTTCTCAATTTAAGAATTACCCCTCGATGTGAGAAAAAGACTGCTCGTCTACTAAGATGTTGTTCAGCATCAAACTCATTCAAGTTCAAGGAGGGTACGAAAAGGTTGGATTTACGTAAAAAAGGAGAAGGAAGCTACACATATTAGAGTATAAGGGTAATTTTGTAGAGAAAATTGTGTTGTTATAACTATGTACAGCACTCTATGTAGAATGTTTTTGATGAGTGTTACTTTGAAAATTATATATATACAGTTCTGGCGTTTATTTTGTTTAAGTTTTACCAACTTATATTATTTACATATGTGATGTGTGGGTGTTATGTAAATCAAAATCAATCATTGAGCTGGAAAAACATAAGAGATACTCCAAAAAGTTTAATATACAAAACACGTTGCACGAAAATAACCCTTTACCACCCTCATTTACGTATACATAAGATAAGATGTTACAGTTAAGTCTGCCTCATATCTTGACTTACATCTAGAAATTGACAATGAGGGTCGGTTGAAAACAAAACTTTACGACAAAAGAGATGATTTCAGCTTCCCAATTGTGAACTTTCCATTTCTATGTAGCAACATTCCAGCAGCGACTGCATAGGGAGTATATATCTCCCAATTGATACGATATTCCCGGGCTTGTATTTCCTATCATGATTTCCTTGATATAGGATTGCTGCTCACAAGGAAGCTATTAAACCAAGAGTTCCAAATGGTGAAGTTGAAATCATCTCTTCGTAAATTTTACGGACGCCATCACGAGTTGGTTGACCGTTATGGAATAACCGTTTCACAGATGATATCGGATATGTTCCTTATGTCGTAACTACAATACCCTTCCCTTTTCACGAATGAAACTTACCGAATTAGACTATTTACCGGATTTGTAATAACATAAGCAACACGACGGGTGCCACATGTGGAGCAGGATCTGCTTTATACCCTTCCGGAGCACCTGAGATCACCCCCAGTTTTTGGTGGGGTTCGTGTTGCTTAGTCTTTAGTTTTCTATGTTGTGTCATCTGTACTATTATTTGTGTTTGTCTTTTTATTTTTGGCCATGGCGTTGTCAGTTTGTTTTCGATCTATGAGTTTGACTGTCCCTCTGGTATCTTTCGTCCCTCTTTTATAAGATATTTTATTAACCAATCATGGTGCCCAAAATTTGAGCTATACAATCAAATGAATTACAAAATAAAACACACTATAAATGATTAGAATGAATTGAATGATTAAAGTACATTTACACAAAAACATGTATACACATTTAAACAACAAAGTAACATGATGAACAATGTCATTGACAAAACTTTATACGTGTGCGGGTATAAAAATAATTTAAGGTATAGTAACATCCTGGAAATACCACAGATAAGAACTAGTACTAGATGTAGCACCGATGGGTCCACATTTGGATCTATATTCAACACATACATTTTTTCAATTTATACAAATTTGTGGTCTCGCTATATATATATATATATATATATTTATTTTTTGCTAACTGCAGGCGCTTTATTTATAGTTAAATGCTTATGTTTCATTTTATTGAGTTTAAATTATCACACAGATCTTGAATATAACCTGGGACTATTATACTAAATCAATAATCCGCTATCGGGACATTGAAATCTCATCAGATCGATCCGTTTCCAGTCCCGTTAGTAGATGTCTATATTCTCGGATTTCTTATTATGTTTAAAGTGGCTCATTCTCTGATTTCTTAGTGCTTATAAATGAATTTCTTAGTTTTTTAAATATCAAATTTTAACACGTGTTTACCTATGTTCTAAATTATATACCCAATATCAGAGACATATACACATATGTCTCTGCCAATATTAAAATCGTTTTGTCACAAATGCTCATTATACGTATTTCCTCGTAGTTGTTTCCGTCACGAATCGAATGTTACTTTGCATTTGGAAAGGGAGAAAACTGGGAAAAAATACGAAGTGACTGATGATCGCATTATTTTCTCAATGAAAGCGAAATTGTTCTCTATACATATATTTTTGGTGAAGCTAGCTTTATACTTTACGCTTTAAAGAACAATCAGTATGTCAGGTATGAAAATATTCGAATCTATAGTCCTAAAAAGCAGTAATATGGAACGGGGACCCAATTATTTCCCGCATTACTTCAATGCAATTTTATCATAATTGAGGGGCAGATTTTTTATTCCCTATATTAGACTGCAAAATTGCAACTATTTTGTCATAGCCCCCTCCATGGTTTCTTGGAGAATTCTTGAAAGGTCATGACCGGCATTTAAGAGAGCAATAATCAATACTATTTTGAGTATAACCTGTCAGGAATAACCATTAATGGCATTATTTCCTTATGTTACATTATGTTAAAATTTTCTGTGATAAAAACAGCCTATTTCTTCTTCTTTAAGTTTCTAGCGATCCTTCAATTATTGAAGATTATTCGCCGGTCGTCGACTATAAAATTTTATAATTTACATTGTTGCAAGAAAAATAAAAAGAAACAAAATCAAAAAATCAAAATAATGTATGTGCATTTGAAAAATTTCATTTAGATAAAACTATATACATTTGATAACAAAATAGTTAGGGATAGAAAATGGGGATGAGAGCAGATTCTGAGATCATACTCTTGAATCCCTGTACTGTACTGCATGATACTATTTGTTGTGGCAGAAGATTCCAATCTATAAAATTGAGAATGGAAATGGGGAATGTGTCAAAGAGACAACAACCCGACCACAGAACAGACAACAGCAGAAGGCCACCAACAGGTCTTCAATGCAGTGAGAAATTCCCGCACCCGGAGGCGTCCTTCAGCTGGCCCCTAAACAAATATATATACTAGTTCAGTGATAATGAACGCCATACTAAACTCCAAATTGTACACAAGAAACTAAAATTAAAAATAATACAAGACTAACAAAGGCTAGAGGCTCCTGACTTGGGACAGGCGCAAAAATGCGGCGGGGTTAAACATGTTTATGAGATCTCAACCCTCCCCCTATACCTCTAGCCAATGTAGAAAAGTTAACGCATAACAATACGCACATTAAAATTCAGTTCAAGAGAAGTCCGAGTCTGATGTCAGAAGATGTAACCAAAGAAAATAAAAAAAATGACAATAATACATAAATAACAACAGACTACTAGCAGTTAACTGACATGCCAGCTCCAGACTTCAATTAAACTGATTGAAAGATTATGTCTTCATCATATGAATATCAGGCACAATCCTTCCCGTTAGGGGTTTAGTATCATACCATCATAACATATATGAGAAGAACATAACCCGTGTCATGCCAACAACTGGTTTTTAAATAAATGTGTTTAGTGCCGATGCAAAGACCCTATAAGTGAATCAATATTAACGCCAAAATATGCAATCTTTAATGACCTGACAACAGTATCGTAACTATATCCCTTCTTAATAAGTCTATTTAAAGGTTTTGTTAGTTTCAGAGGTGAATACTGACATTTTTGTGCTTTATAAAGAATATTTCCATAAAAAATTGGATGTGAAATACCTGAACGTATAAGAAGTCTGCATGTTGAGCCATATTTACCATGTTTACGAATGATGTCCTTATACCGATGATAAAATTTAGCAAATGTCTTGACTAGTTTGTGATATCGAAAACCCTGGTGTAATAATTTTTCAGTAATACATAAATTTCTCTCGCTAAAATCTAAAACATTGTTACACACACGAGCGAATCGTACAAGTTGAGATATATAAACACCGTGACAAGGGAACGTCACCATCTAAAAATGGATAATTAACGATAGGAAATGAAAAATCATCTCTTTTATCATATATTTTAGTATTAAGCTTTCCATTAATGATATAGATATCAAGATCGAGGAAAGGGCAGTGGTCATTGTTAGTATTAGCTTTATTTAAAGTAAGTTCAACAGGATAAGTTTCTTTAGTATACATACTGAAGTCGTCATTATTGAGAGCCAAAATATCATCCAAATATCTAAAAGTATTATTAAATTTGTGTATCAGATGTTGTTTCGATGGGTCTTTACTGATTTTTGTCATAAATTGTAACTCATAGCAATACAAAAAAAGGTCCGCAATAAGTGGTGCACAGTTAGTCCCCATTGGAATTCCGATAACCTGACGATATACGGAATCTCCAAAGCGAACAAAAATGTTATCTAGTAAAAATTCAAGGGCATATATTGTATCAAAGCATGTCCAATTGACATAGGTTTTTTTGTTTATTGCTACTAAAAAATGACCTAAAAGAGTTTGAACATATATATTCACATTCTGACTTTTTAAATGCCCATTTAATTAGGTGTGTGAATTTTTTCTTAATGAGAATGTGAGGCAATGTGGTATATAGGGTAGAAAAATCAAAACTTTGAACAGATTCAAAATCACCAATATATGCATGCAATTTATCAAGTACTTCCAACGAGTTCTTGACACTCCAAAAGTAATTAATTCCACTATTTTCGAAGGCCTTATTTGAACAATTTATTATCAGGTTTTTGATTGTACCAAGTGTACTGGTAAGAAGAATAGACAATTTAGTAGTGGAACAATGGCTTGAAGACGAAATGAATCTATATTTGTAAGGTGTTTTGTGTAGCTTCGGAAGCCAATACATAGTTGGGACTTTCATTGTATTTGGTTCTGCTTGTAAAGCGGTAGCTAAAAGTTTATGTTTGTTACAGATGTCGTTTTCTGAAAATGGAGTCAGTTGGAATGTTGGTGAATTGGTGATTTCTTTTTTCAGAACCTCAATGTAAAATTTACGTCAAACAATAATAATATTATTAGCAGCTTTATCGGCCGGGACAAAAACAAATTCCTTGGCTAGTTCTTTTAGTTTATGTTTGATACGAGAAATAGGTTTATTGTGGTTATTGTTAAGAGTAAAATGTTCTTTAAAATGTTGAATACGTATATCAACTATGTTCATTACTGATTTAAAAAAAGAGTCCAAAGATTTTTTGTCAGCTTTTTCCCGTTTTATCCATTTCAAACAGTAAGTATGGAGTGAGTCGTGGATGATATTACGACACTCATTCCAATTAATAATTGACGGGGGACGATATTTAGGTCCTTTACTGAGGAATGATTTTAACTCTCGGTCTTGAACGATGTTAAGATCTCCTGTTATAACATGGGAAATGGGTCCATAAATGTATTCGGAATTACTGCAATTACATGAAGTAGGTGTATTTTCACTGATATTAACATCTTTACACAATTGGCTATAATTAAACACAAATTTCCGGGTAGATTTCTTGTAAATATAACAAATAAGAGGGAGCTCAGTATTATCAAAATATCCTGGAATTTGTTCTTTAACAGAATGGTCGTTAAAAATACCGGCAATATTTACAAAATCAAAACCTTTATTGACATACTTTATTTTAATAAACTGTTTTTTATGATCTTCAGGGCGATCAATTTTGGGAAACAGTTTAGAATAACAATATGCCATTATAATTTGAACGATTTCATACTTAGGACTGCTATATGAAATTGTGTTGCAATCCTCTAAAATTTTATTTAACTTATTAACCGGTAATGAACAGAGCTTTGTTAACAGATAATGTCTGCCGTTGTTTTTTGAAATAGAAATTAGGTCCGAAATATTGGTATGATTGGTCCGAAATTTTCTTTGATTGCGATTTTTTCTACGACCATGAGAACGGTTTTTACGAACAGTTTTAGAAACTATATCCAAAATGTTAACAGAATCGGTTCTTGATATATTACCAATTCCCATGATATTATCATTAAGACCGAGAGGGTAGACTGTCTGTAATTTTTTAATCCAATTTAATTCAATTATTTTCCGCGATCGTACAAACTTTGAATGAGATTCACCAGGCTGCTTATTTACTACTTCTAAAGGTTGAACTGCTAAATATTTAATAGGATGATTGTGCTTCTTAAGGTGTTGATAAATGATACTTTTGAATTTATTGGGTCTTTTAAAACGATACAGATGTTCTTGAGTGCGTTTAGATAAATATCGTCCAGTTTCACCTACGTACTGAATACCGCATCCCGGTTTGTTTCATGTGAGTAAATAAATTATACTGTTTGTTTTTCAAGTTATATCAGTTTCAAAATTTAAAGAAAATGTGCGACCATTAAACGTGGACCTTACCGTATTGTTGGTGGAAAGACGGGGACATGTAAGTCATTTTTTGGCATGACACTTATCGATAGAAGGGTAACCACGATTTTTATTGTTAAAAATGTTAGCGATGGTAGTATTTTTAGATAAGCGATTTTGAAGATTGAGACGTGTAGATACCCTTTGAACGAGTTTAGTATTTAATATTTTTCCATTTCTAAGCTTCATATTTGTTTTTTGTTTGTGAATTATATTAGAAAGGAGCAAAGACTGGCGTTCAGAATATGAACCAGCATACAATGAATTGAATTATGTAAAAATGATAAATCTGTTCGGCTAAAGATGTCAAACGCTATCCGTATTAATTACCCGACTATAACTGTTCGTGGATAAAATGAATATTTATAACTGTCTTTAGATGTTTGTATTTGCCTAAATGAGTGTGGATTGCTATGTCTAATTCTATTGTCTAGTGGGATCAAAAGGTTATATGTAGGGACTGCAACAATTTCATGTATAATTTTGTAGAAGAAGACAAGTCTGTAAACGCCTAATTTCAAGTGGGTACCAATTTAAGCCTGTCACCATTTCAGTAACTGAGCTGGTGTTATGGAAGCGGTTGCATGAGAAGCGCGCTGCTCTTCTCTGAACTTTTTCAATTTGTGAAATTTGCTGTTTTTGATGTGGATCCCAAATAGTTGAGCAGTACTCTAGTTTTGGTCGGACAAGAGCTTTAAATGCATGTGCTTTAACTTTAGGTGAGGCTATTTTAAAGTTTCTACGAATAAATCCAAGAGACTGATTTGCTTTTGATGTCATGTTACCGGTATCGATATGTTTGTCCCATTTTAAAATTGATTGAAGAGTTAGGCCTAAATATTTTGTAGAGTCAACTTTTTCTAGAGAGTGATTGTGTAATTTATAAGTGAAGTCTAAAGGTTTGCGTTTTTGAGTTACACTGAGAATGTTGCACTTATCAGGGTGAAAATACATGAGCCAGTCCTGCTCCCATCTGCCGGCCGCTTCCAAGTCAGACTGTAATTTATATGTGTCATCTGGTTTTTTAATTTCCCTATAAATAATACTGTCATCTGCGAACAATCTTAGTGTACTATGTTCAATAATGTTCAAGCCTGTCATTCAGTGGTTGTCCATTGTTGCTGTGTTACATATTTTTTTTTCGTTCATTTTTTTGTACATTAATTAGTTAGTTTTCTCAATTGAATTGTTTTACATTTGTGATTTTGGGGCCTTTTAATTTTTATAGCTGACTATGCAGTATGGGCTTTGCTCATTGTTGAAGTCTGTACGGTGACCTATAGCTGTTAATTTCTGTGTCATGTGGCCTCTTGTAGAGAGTTGTCTCATTGGCGATCATACCACATCTTCTTTTTATGCCCCCGCCGTAGGGAAGGGGGCATCAAGTTTTACCCTTGTCCGTCCGTACGTCCCAAAATTGGTTTCCATTCTCTAACTTGAGTTTGCCTCAATCAAATGTTATGAAACTTATACACAATGCTAATTACCACAAAACACAGATCAAGTTTGAATTTTGGTGGCGTCACTTTAACCGTTCTAGAGTTATGCCCCTTTATAAATGGAAAAATTGCAAAATTTTTAGTTTTGGTTCTCTAACTTAAGTTTGCCTCAACCAAATGTTATGAAACTTATACACAATGCTTATTACCACAAAACACAGATCAAGTTTGAATTTTGGTGTCGTCACTTTAACCATTCTTGCATGGACTTTACAGATTGGTTGTATGTTATTTAAAAGAAACAACTTTTTATAAAGTACTTTCTTTCACTTTCTGTACTTGTTTGCATCGAAACAATCTGATTTTCACAAAATAAGTATGTTACTTCATTAAACATGTTAAAACATGATGAAAATTGCCTTTAGTTAAATATATTTATGTAATCTACACATAGTAATTTTCAGTTACATAGTTTATACATTTCTATGCCTTTCGATATGCAGTATTTACTGCTTGTACAGTGTTGCAACAACCACTGAATTACAGGTTCCTGACTTGGGACAGGCAAATACAGAATGTGGCAGGGTTAAACATGTTTGTGGGCACTTAACCCTCCCCTAACCTGGGACAGTGACTGGTGTAACAGGACAACATAGGAACAAACTATAAAAATCAGTTGAAAAGGGCTTAACTCATCAAAACAATACAAAGCACAAAAACAACTTACAAAAAAAACTAAAGACACAAGGCACAAAAACAACTAACAAAAACACTAAAGACTCAAAGGACAAAAACAACTAACAAAAACACTAAAGACACAAAGAACAAAAACAACTAACTAAAACACTAAAGACACAAAGCACAAAAACAACTAACTAAAACACTAAAGACACACAGCACAAAAACAACTAACAAAAACACTAAAGACACACAGCACAAAAACAACTAACAAAAACATTAAAGACACAAAGGACAAAAACAACTAACAAAAACACAAAGGACAAAAACAACTAACAAAAACACTAAAGACACAAAGGACAATAACAACTAACAAAGACACAAAGGACAAAAACAACTAACAAAAACACTAAAGACACAAAGGACAAAAACAACTAATTAAAACACTAAAGACACAAAGGACAAAAACAGCTAACAAAAACACTAAAGACACAAAGGACAATAACAACTAACTAAACACTAAAGACACAAAGGACAAAAACAACTAACTAAACACTAAAGACACAAAGGACAAAAACAACTAACTAAAACACTAAAGACACACAGGACAAAAACAACTAACAAAAACACTAAAGACACAAGGGACAAAAACAACTAGCTGAAACACTAGACACAAAGGACAAAAAACCCCAACTAAAACACTAAAGACACAAAGGACAAAAACAACTAGCTGAAACACTAAAGACACAAAGGACAAAAACAACTACAAAAACACTAAAGACACACAGCACAAAAACAACTTACAAAAACACTAAAGACACAAAGGACAAAAACAACTAACAAAAACACTAAAGAGACAAAGGACAAAAACAACTTACAAAAACACTAAAGACACAAAGGACAAAAACAACTAACAAAAACACTAAAGACACAAAGGACAAAAACAACTAACAAAAACACTAAAGACACAAAGGACAAAAACAACTAGCTGAAACACTAAAGACACAGGACAAAAACAACTAACTAAAACACTAAAGACACACAGGACAAAAACAACTAACAAAAACACTAAAGACACAAGGGACAAAAACAACTAGCTGAAACACTACAGACACAAAGGACAAAAAACCCCAACTAAAACACTAAAGACACAAAGGACAAAAACAACTAACTAAACACTAAAGACACAAAGGACAAAAACAACTAACTAAAACACTAAAGACACACAGGACAAAAACAACTAACAAAAACACTAAAGACACAAGGGACAAAAACAACTAGCTGAAACACTAAAGACACAAAGGACAAAAAAAACCAACTAAAACACTAAAGACACAAAGGACAAAAAAACCCAACTAAAACACTAAAGACACAAAGGACAAAACCAACTAGCTGAAACACTAAAGACACAAAGCACAAAAACAACTACAAAAACACTAAAGACACACAGCACAAAAACAACTTACAAAAACACTAAAGACACAAAGAACAAAAACAACTAACTAAAACACTAAAGACACAAAGGACAAAAACAACTAACAAAAACACTAAAGACACAAAGGACAAAAACAACTAACAAAACACAAAGGACAAAAACAACTAACAAAAACACTAAAGACACACAGCACAAAAACAACTAACAAAAACACTGAAGACACAAAGCACATATCTGAGAGTACTGGGTCTATATGATAACAGATGTTTTGGTCCAGCCATGCTGGCTCTACATGATGACAACAGATGTTTTGATCCAGCCATGCTGGGTTTATATGATGACAACAGATGTTTTGGGCCAGCCATGCTGGCTCTATATGATGACAACAGATGTTTTGATCCAGCCATGCTGGGTTTATATGATGACAACAGAGGTTTTGGTCCAGCCATGCTGGCTATTTATGATGACAACAGATGTTTTGATCCAGCCATGCTGGGTTTATATGATGACAACAGATGTTTTGATCCAGTCATGCTGTGTCTATATGATGACAACAGATGTTTTGATCCATCAATGCTGGGTCCAGGGTCTATAGGATGACAACAGATGTTTTGGTCCAGCCATGCTGGCTCTATATGATGACAACAGATTTTTTGATTCAGCCATGCTTGGTCTATATGATGACAACAGATTTTTTGATTCAGCCATGCTGGGTCTATATGATGACAACAGATTTTTTGATTCAGCCATGCTGGGTTTATATGATGACAGCAATTTTTTTGATCCAGCCATGCTGGGTCCAGGGTCTATATGATGACAACAGATGTTTTGATCTAGCCATGCTGGGTCTATATGATTAAAACAGATTTTTTGATTCAGCCATGCTAGGTCTATATGATGACAACAGATTTTTTGATTCAGCCATGCTGGGTCTATATGATGACAACAGATTTTTTTATTCAGCCATGCTGGGTCTATATGATGACAACAGATTTTTGATTCAGCCATGCTGAATCTATGCGATCACTCTGTTTTTGGAAATGGTGCAATATACTTAGTTGAAGACATGTCATGAAACTAATTATGCGTTTTTATGGCTTGCAGAAACTTTCTACACCATTTTAATCATCAACTGCCAACTTTTGACATGTTTATTTGCCCTTAAATTAATAAAAGATTGGTCGAACAACCCTTTTGTTTTAGATATACACTTGCATATAGTTCCTTTGTAAATCAAAATTTATAATGATTTACTTTTTATGAATTAATTTGAAAAAGTATTTTTACATCAATTGAAGCAGTTGATAACAATTTTGAAAGTATTATATTATTATCTTATGCTTGTGTAAGTTTTGAAATTTAGGTCAACATGTGCGTTAATATATCTAAGTTGATTCCCACACTTTTTTGAAATGGTATTACTCCAGTTCTTTCCATAGGTAAGTAAGAGTCAGTATGATTATAAACTGTCATGATTTTCAAATAATTACACTCAAAGATGTAAGTATTAATTGGAAACAACCCCAGTCTTAATTCACCAGATTTAATATCTCATGACCTGTTACATAACTAAATAGGCACAATTTATTACACACCTAACTGAATACACACATTCTTCACCTCAATAGTAAACCTACAAATGTATTATTTATTTTGATCTACACTACATTAAAATATTCTGTTAATTTTGCTAGCTAGCTGAATGATTAATCCGACATGGGTTTTTTTTTCACTTGTAAAATCAGTGTCATTATCATCTGACATAAGTCAATAATCAAGATCTAATTAATTAGTTACAATTATCAGAAATTTGGTTGAAACAATAAACAAAATTGCATAACTCTTACCTGAGCATTTTCTGCAATAAAATTTATTTGTTTGTTCTACATTTATATCCCATTATATCACTACTTAACAGTAATCATGGTAATTGGAAATATATCAGCATTAGGTATTTGTACATTTAGATTTGAATACAGGAAATGTATTTTTTCTAAATGAAGAATGAATACCAATTTAGATAAAAATCAGTTATTATTTTTTTTTCATTTTTGTTGTTGAGAAAGTGCATTTCCAAGGCCTCTTTCTGGAAATTATTAAGCTAGTTATTATTAAGGGCATATAAAAAAATATATTACTTGTTTGACGATTTCCCTTTCCATTCATGTCGGTCACCATTAAATTTAAAATATTGATATAAAAAAAAATCTGACAGAGTCTAAAATTTAAATATGAATATATATATATCATTATTTGTATCAATATTGCGAAATTCCCTACCTATGGGCAATAATATAGAAATTTAACAGTAAGATTGGAAATGAAAAGAGAAAAAAATATTGAAAAAGTATGGTCAGAAAGAATATCAGACTAGCTATGAATATGGCTGGATCACAACATTGACGATGCTTTGATTTGATTCAGCCATGCTGGGTCTATATGATGACAGCAATTTTTTGATCCAGCCATGCTGGGTCCAGGGTCTATATGATGACAACAGATGTTTTGATCTAGCCATGCTGGGTCTATATGATTAAAACAGATTTTTTGATTCAGCCATGCTAGGTCTATATGATGACAACAGATTTTTTGATTCAGCCATGCTGGGTCCATGGTCTTTATGATGACAACATATTTTTTGATTCAGCCATGCTGGGTCTATAATATGATGACAGCAGATTTTTTGGTCGAGCCATGCTTGGTCTATATGATGACAGCAGACTTTTGGATCCAGCCATGCTGGGTCTATATGATGACAGCAGATTTTTTTGGTCCAGCCATGCTGGGTCTATATGATTACAACAGATGTTTTGATCCAGCCATGCTGGGTCTATATAATGACAGCAGATTTTTTTGGTCCAGCCATGCTGGATCTATATGATGACAACACATGTTTTGATCCAGCCATGCTGGGTCTATATGATGACAACAGATTTTTTGATCCAGCCATGCTGGGTCTATATGATGACAACAGATTTTTTGATCCAGCCATGCTGGGTCCAGGGTCTATATGATGACAACAAATTTTTGTCATGAATTCTATTTTCGTCTTCAATGTTGGAGAGTGTCCTTTGTTGAATTTGCACATAGACCATGTAGACCAAGGTGAGAGACACAGGCTTTTTAGAGCCTCTAGTTTTCTGTTGCTATTGTTTAAAGATTTGTAATAATTTGTAATTTCAAATTTCTTTGCATGCATCTGTTTAACATGCTTAAATAAAATAATAATAAATTTCTTATATCATTTCAGTTTGTTTTGGATGTGCATGTTTAAAGCCACGCTACAAAAGACTTGTTGATAATATATTCCCACTAATCCCAGAGGTAAGATTGATCAAGTAACCCAGAGGTAAGATTGATCAAGTAACCAAGAGGTAAGATTGATCAAGTAATCCAGAGGTTAGTTTGATATAGTAACCCAGAGGTAAGATTGATCAAGTAACCCAGAGATAAGATTGATCAAGCAACCAGGAGGTAAGTTTGATCAAGTAACCCAGAGGTTAGATTGATCAAGTAACCCAGAGGTAAGATTGATCAAGTAACCCAGAGGTAAGATGATCAGGAAACCCAGAGTAAGATTGGTCATGCGACCCAGAGGTAAGATTGATCAGGAAACCCAGAGGTAAGATTGGTCATGCAACCCAGAGGTAAGATTGATCAAGTAACCCAGAGGTAAGATTGATCAAGTATCCCAGAGGTAAGATTGCTTAAGTAACCCAGAGGTGAAATTGATCAGGTAACCCAGAGGTTTACTTTAGATATAGGTAATATTAAGTCAAAAAGAAATTGTCTGAAAAAATAACAAAAAGATCCTTTTTAATTGCATGAGCTTTATTACATATACTTTATAAAACTGTAGATTTTATAGGCTTTAAAAGTAAAAGTAGATGTGTCAATGTCACGGAAACAGAAGATTAAGGAACAACAATATAAACAAACCAAATAGTTTGAAAGAAATTATGTAAATTGGTATGGTTTATTAAAATTTCAGTTTTAAAATACAATCAGTGAATTGTAATGACTTTTCTGATATTACCAGAATAAAAAAAGGGAAAAAATATGTATTGTTTGATTTTCTGAAGCATTAATTACTTAATCTCTACTTCAGGATGGACTTGTTAAAAACAACATGGACAAACTAACATACTATGCCATGTCTAACTCAGAAAAACTTGATCGAATTGGAGCTTATCTGGAACAAAAGCTAGGAAGAGACTTACAGCGAAGGAGGATTGGGTAAGGTTTATTTATATCTCTTCTGAGTCTGTTTTACACAAAGCTGTAGAAAAATTTACCATCATGAGTAGTTGATCATATTATATCCCCATATTTTATGAGAGTTATTGGACTTTTAGCATTTTTTTGGAGTATTGAAACAATGACACCTTGTAAACCCATTTCTCCTGAGGCCAGAAAGCTCTCATACTTAGTAGTATTGTTTACCAACATGTGTTGTTGACCATATCATACAGACATTTTAATCCAGGCTTCTACAATAACTTTTTTTTCAACTTGCCCAATAGGACAAGTACATACCAAAACTTACTTGTTCGAATGGAATTGTAACTTATCCAAAAAAAAAAAAACCTTTATATTAACCATTTTTGCATTCAATGAACAAAATGAATTAAAACAATAGAACAGAATTTGATTGATATCTCTTGATATCCTTTTCAAAAATATGAGTCGAGAACAACTGAATCTAGTCATGTCTAGTCACAGGACTTAGGTTTTAGTTTTCATCAATGCCAAAGTCTCATCAGACTCTGCACATGAGGCACAGTCTGGTAGGCCTGTCAGTCTACACTCATTTGGTTTGTATCCTGGTCTTTTAAGTTTATAAAATATTGATTATTATGATTAATGCCTTACTGCAATCAGCTTTGTTTTTAATATATTAAAATGTTTAACTAAACACAATCAAATATTGTTTTGTCTAAATATGATCAAATATGATTTTATGAATTTTATAGTGATTTTTATTTTAAAAATACTAATGTTAAATAAAATTTATCATACATTTATTATAAAGCAACAGGATAAGGTAGGAAAACGAGGTACTGGTTTGTTTTGGTCCCGAAATGTCTCCAACGATGCCGAACTGTCTATTAAATATGGAGCTGATTCGTTTCCTTGACGGTGCCGAACTGTCTTGTTACCTTATCTACAAAGCACACCGATGATTCCGATCGGTAAGACTGGTTTCCGAGAATAGTATGCTTTTTAACTGTTATAAAGTATCTGACAAAGAACCAGTTTTAAATTATCGATAGCCAGTAAACATGTCAAATAAATATTTATTTTATCTTCTTTTCTTGTTTTTTGTTTATTACTTTTGATCATCAAAGTTTGATTTAATTTATTTCCTACAGAATGATTTTACTCGTCTGACCTTTTTTTCCTCTGGTACCGGACAATTGGACAAGCGTTATTGTTGAGCCTTGTAATCCAACCATTGCTATGGGAGTTATGGGACTTTGAACCTTTATTTCACTATTGTACCACAATGACACCTTGTGAACCTTCTGAGACTGTTTGACAGAAAGCTCTCATACCATGAAAGATTGAACCTTCTGAGACCGTTTGATAGAAAGCTCTCATACCATGAAAGATTAATTCTTCTGAGACCGTTTGATAGAAAGCTATTATACCATGAAAGATTAAACCTTCTGAGACCTTTTGATAGAGAGCTCTCATACCATGAAAGATTAAACCTTCTAAGACCGTTTGATAGAAAGCTCTCATACCATGAAAGATTGAATCTTCTGAGACCGTTTGATAGAAAGCTCTCATACCATGAAAGATTGAACCTTTTGAGACCGTTTGATAAAAATTTAAGCTCTCATACCATGAAAGATTAAACCTTCTGAGACCGTTTGATAGAAAGCTCTCATACCATGAACGATTAAACCTTCTGAGACCGTTTGATAGAAAGCTCTCATACCATGAAAGATTGAACCTTCTGAGACCGTTTAATAGAAAACTCTCATATCATGAAAGATTAAACCTTCTGAGACCGTTTGATAGAAAGCTCTCATACCATGAAAGATTAAACCTTCTGAGACCGTTTGATAGAAAGCTCTCATACCATGAAAGATTAAACCTTCTGAGACCGTTTGATAGAAAGCTCTCATACCATGAAAGATTAAACCTTCTGAGAACGTTTGATAGAAATCTCTCATACCATGAAAGATTGAACCTTCTGAGACCGTTTGATAGAAAGCTCTCATACCATGAAAGATTGAACCTTCTGAGACAGTTTGATAGAAAGCTCTCATACCATGAAAGATTGAACCTTCTGAGACTGTTTGATAGAAAGCTCTCATACCATGAAACATTGTTTGCCATCTTATTTAGTTAACCATATTTTGATTGGACCATTTTTGTCTAGCCTCTACAAAGTTGAAAAAGAAAGACATCAGTTACCAGCAGCTGCAGTGTTAACAATGTATTAATTAGTATATGATTTGGTCAGTTTAAGGGGAACCACTAATGGTTGGTCAATGTATTATATGATTTGGTCAGTTTAAGGGGAACCACTAATGGTTGGTCAATGTATTATATGATATGGTCAGTTTAAGGGGAACCACTCATGTTTGGTCAATGAAGTATATGATTTGGTCAGTTTAGGGGGAACCACTAAAGGTAGGTCAATGTAGTATATGATTTGGTCAGTTTAGGGGGAACCACTAATGGTTGGTCAATGTAGTATATGATTTGGTCAGTTTAGGGGGAACCACTAATGGTTGGTCAATGTAGTATATGATTTGGTCAGTTTAGGGGGAAACCACTAATGGTCGGTCAATGTAGTATATGATTTGGTCAGTTTAGGGGAAACCCCTAATGGTTGGTCAATGTAGTATATGATTTGGTCAGTTTAAGGGGAACCACTAATGGTTGGTCAATGTAGTATATGATTTGTTCAGTTTAAGGGGAACCACTAATGATTGGTCAATGTAGTATATGATTTGGTCAGTTTAAGGGGAACCTCTAAAGGTAGGTCAATTTAGTATATGATTTGGTCAGTTTAGGGGGAACCACTAATGGTTGGTCAATGTAGTATATGATTTGGTCAGTTTAGGGGGAACCACTAAAGGTAGGTCAATGTAGTATATGATTTGGTCAGTTTAGGGGGAACCACTAATGGTTGGTCAATGTAGTATATGATTTGGTCAGTTTAGGGGGAACCACTAATGGTTGGTCAATGTAGTATATGATTTGGTCAGTTTAGGGGGAAACCACTAATGGTTGGTCAATGTAGTATATGATTTGGTCAGTTTAGGGGGAACCCCTAATGGTTGGTCAATGTAGTATATGATTTGGTCAGTTTAAGGGGAACCACTAATGGTTGGTCAATGTAGTATATGATTTGTTCAGTTTAAGGGGAACCACTAATGATTGGTAAATGTAGTATATGATTTGGTCAGTTTAAGGGGAACCACTAAAGGTAGGTCAATTTAGTATATGATTTGGTCAGTTTAGGGGGAACCACTAATGGTTGGTCAATGTAGTATATGATTTGGTCAGTTTAGGGGGAACCACTAATGGTTGGTCAATGTAGTATATGATTTGATCAGTTTAGGGAGAACCACTAATGGTTGGTCAATGTAGTATCTCATTTTCACAGAGATTATTTGGCCCCCTGTCAGTCATGGTCTATTGAATTTGAAACTTTTCCATAGTTTACTTGTTAAAGTGTGTGTTTAGATCAGTTTAAAGGGAACAGCTTATGATAAGTCAATGTATTTTGGTATGCAGTTGTATTAGCATTGGCAGTTCTCATGTCCACAGAGGTTTTTGATCCCTGCACCTTCAGTCATGGTCATGGTTCATTTACTTTGAATGTTTTGCATTGTGTACATGTTAAAGTATTGCCATTTTAATTTTCACATTTGCACTATAAAATCAAAGTTACACAAAGGGGAGGCATATTTCTGTGTCAACAGTTTTTTTTGAATTTATGGGACTCTGACCCTTTTTTTTTTTTAGCTCATTTGGTCTAAAAGTCCATTTGAGCTTTAGCCATTACTCCTCGTATGTCATCTGTTGTCCGTCTGCCGTTGTAATCTTTACTTAAAGTCTTATCCTCTGAAACTCAAGGTCTTATCTTCTATAAAGTTTTCAGAAAATTTGACAACCCACTTTTGAGCGATTGCCCCTGAAATGTAAATCTTTAGAAAAATTCACAGTTTTTGACTTATATCTAAAAAAATAAATCAACTATCAACTGGTCAAGGTCCACTTCCCTGGGATTTTTCTGAAAAATATTTTTTTTTATAGTAATTGCTTCTGAAATGTAAAAATTGTGCAAATACTGAATTTTTGGTTATTATCTTGAAAACTGTAACAGATAGAGTGTAATTTTTAACATTATGAATGATGAGAACAATCAGATCTACAAATAAAGAAAACATTTATAGTTTTTTTTTACTGATTTCTATAATTTTTCCATAGCTCAGAAAATAGATATAAACTGCTATCAGTAAAAATGTCATCCGACTATGCGAGACCCTCATGCTAAGTCAAGGTCCTTAAACACCCCCTAAGTAGTAGTAGTAAAAATGATCATCAATACAAAAATCTACATAAATGCCCCTGATTAAGATTTTTAAATGAGCAAACATAACTGATTGCAATAAAAGTACAATGAATATCAAAATAGCATCTTTTAACCAGGTGAGCAATTCAGGCTCATCGGAGCCTCTTTTTCACTATTGTACCACAATGGATATGACATCTTGTGAATGCAATTCCTCTGTCCTCTGACAATGTTTGACAGAAAGCTTTCATACTTCCTGTACTTTGAGGGATTTCATGGAAGAGGTTAGACTTTGGCTTTTTTCAACTATTGTACAATGACACCATGTTTGGCTGAAATAACAGCAGCACATACTAAAGCTTGAAATACACGTTATAATGTAATCTATGTTTCTGTTGTTAATTCTAACACCAAATTCCTTATTGTAGTCATTTATACAGCAATGGGGGACATTTCACTACAATTCCTCATTGTAGGCATTTACACAGTAATGGGGGACATTTCACTACAATTCCTCATTGTAGTCATTTACACAGCAGTGGGGGACATTTCACTACAGTGAAGCAATCTTGTTTTATATATTTATTTGCAATAACATTTTATTTTGTTTCAGATATGTATTTATTAGTATGGATGCTTTAGACCAGCTGTTAGTAGCCTGTCACTCCCATTCACTAAACTTGTTCGTGGAAAGTTTCCTGAAGATGGTACAGAAACTGCTGGAATCTGATGACCCTGACTTACAAGTGTTAGCTACACAATCAGTAAGTGAAATAAGAGGCTATTTTCAACTTCTATTCTGATATAATATTTAGGTTGAAGATGACATTTCATCTGTCTTTACTCTGTACCAATGACTGTTCAGTCTGCACTCCAGCATGTCATCTGTCTCTACTCAATACCAATGACTGTTCAGTCTGCACTCCAGCATGTCATCTGTCACTAATCTGTACCAATGACTGTTCAGTCTGCACTCCAGCATGTCATCTGTATTTTCTCTGTTCCAATGACTGTTCAGTCTTCACTCCAGCATGTCATCTGTCTCTACTCTATACCAATGACTGTTCAGTCTACACTTCAGCATGTGATCTGTATCTTCTCTGTTCCAATGACTGTTCAGTCTGCACTCCAGCATGTCATCTGTATCTTCTCTGTTCAAATGACTGTTCAGTCTTCACTCCAGCATGTCATCTGTGTCTACTCTATATCAATGACTGTTCAGTCTGCACTCCAGCATGTCATCTGTATTTTCTCTGTTCCAATGACTGTTCAGTCTTCACTCCAGCATGTGATCTGTCTCTACTCTATACCAATGACTGTTCAGTCTTCACTCCAGCATGTGATCTGTATCTTCTCTGTTCCAATGACTGTTCAGTCTGCACTCCAACATGTCATCTGTATCTTCTCTGTTCCAATGACTGTTCAGTCTGCACTCCAGCATGTCATCTGTATTTTCTCTGTTCCAATGACTGTTCAGTCTTCACTCCAGCATGTCATCTGTCTTTACTCTATACCAATGACTGTTCAGTCTACACTCCAGCATGTCATCTCTCTCTACTCTATACCAATGACTGTTCAGTCTACACTGCAGCATGTCATCTGTCTCTACTCTATACCAATGACTGTTCAGTCTACACTCCAGCATGTGATCTGTATCTTCTCTGTTCCAATGACTGTTCAGTCTGCACTCCAGCATGTCATCTGTATCTTCTCTGTTCCAATGACTGTTCAGTCTTCACTCCAGCATGTCATCTGTGTCTACTCTATACCAATGACTGTTCAGTCTACACTCCAGCATGTGATCTGTCTCTACTCTATACCAATGACGGTTCAGTCTGCTCTCCAGCATGTCATCTGTCTGTACTTTGTGCAGATGACTGTTCAGTCTGCACTCCAGCATGTCATCTGTATCAACTCTGTTCCAATGACTGTTCAGTCTGCACTCCAGCGTGTCATCTGTCTACTCTATACCAATGACTGTTCAGTCTACACTCCAGCATGTGATCTGTATCTTCTCTGTTCCAATGACTGTTCAGTCTGCACTCCAGCATGTCATCTGTCTCTACTTTGTACCAATGACTGTCCAGTCTGCTCTCCAGCATGTCATCTGTCTGTACTCTGTGCCAATGACTGTTCAGTCTGCACTCTAGCATGTCATCTGTATCTTCTCTGTTCCAATGACTGTTCAGTCTGCATTCCAGCGTGTCATCTGTCTACTCTATACCAATGACTGTCCAGTCTGCTCTCCAGCAGCATGTCATCTGTCTCTACTCTAAACCAATGACTGTTCAGTCTGTACTCCAGCATGTGATCTGTATCTTCTCTGTTCCAATGACTGTTCAGTCTGCACTCCAGCGTGTCATCTGTCTACTCTATACCAATGACTGTTCAGTCTGCACTCCAGCATGTCATCTGTCTCTACTCTAAACCAATGACTGTTCAGTCTGCTGTCCAGCATGTCATCTGTCTCTACTCTATACCAATGACTGTTCATTCTGCACTCCAGCATTTAATTTGTCTCTAGTCTTGTCTGACTGTTAGGGTACCTTCATGATTTAAGGTAACAGGTACATAAATGGCCTATCACACTGATTCTCCTGAAATTTGCATATACATGCAGGTAGGTATATAGAGCATGACATATTAAATATGAATATACAAAAAATGGTATATGTAACTTTCATTTTTGTGGAAAGCAAATTAAATTCCGAAAAATAGAAGTGCAAATGTATATATTAGAGGTAACTATTGGACTTTGAATTATAATTTCTCAAAATCAAGTCTTACAAAGTATCTTGAAAAGATATATCTATTGCTACTGAAATTTCTGTTTTATTGAAATGAAATTATAGGGAGTCACTGCACTTGTTAATTGAGTATTACAAGTTGAATCTTTTGCACAGTGAAGGAAGCATCAAAAAGGAAACAGTAAGCTTAAGGTTATGACTATGCTGTGCATCAAATTCTTATTTTTCTGTGATTTTTATGTAATTGTTAAAATTAAATGAATTATACAGCAAAAACTACTTCTATGATCCCTATAAATTGTGAATGAATAAAATGGATATTTTAGTGGTAACAACATATAACTTTTAAAGAAAATTAGTAGGACAGGTTTTTGAGAAAACACAATTTAAAGTCTTTAAAATCAGATTAATATCTTTTGTGATATTAATGTGCGTTTTGCATATGTTTAAAAATGTGGTATTATTGCCAATGAGACAACTATCTACCAGAGTTAAAATGAAGTGGAAGTAAGCAATTATGGGCCTCAGTATGGCCTTCAACAATGAAAAACCCATACCATATAGTAGACTATAAAAGGCCCTGACATGCAAAAAGGAAACAATTCAAACAAGAAAACTCAAGGCCAAATTTTTAACAAAACAATTTACGAAAAAACAAATATGACAGACGTAAACCTATGACAACCACTAAATGACAGGCTGTGTAGTAAGCTATGAATAAGTGGAACAAAAAATGTGTTAACTTGGTTGGCCTATCCTGCAACGTGTTACAGAATTGAGACATTTCCTTTGGCTTATAGTTTTGCCAATGGTGACTTTGAAGGTAACTTTGGACCCTTATCAATGGAGATTTGTGATTTCTTCAATAATATACAAAGCACTCATATGTTTCACTAAAACATCTTTTTTTATGTCGATTCCTTTCTGTTGCATCCAAGAAGCTTGAAAATGACTGCCAGATTTAATAGTTGTACAGCTGTTTTCTGATACTTTATTCTCAATATTGTAAGTGTACTAATTTTTGAAATGAAGCTTGTGAATTCAAAAATAAATCACCAGAATTATATTTGTACCATATTAAGAAAAATAGGTTTAACTTGTGAGAATTGAATTTCACTTGATATATATAAGCTTGTTATTTAATTTCAATAATAAACTTTCATGAAGATTGTTTATTATTATATTGGAATTAAATAGTTATATACATGTATCCTAGTCTCACTAATTATGAAACCTATAAATATTCATGTGTTTTTTTTTCAGTTTGTAAAGTTTGTCAATGTAGAGGAGGACATCCTTCATTCCAATGACAACATGATTTATTTATATAACTTGTTTTGAATATAATTTTTCAGTTTGAAAAGTTTTCTGATAAAGAGGAAGACATCTTTCCTACCACAGGCAACTCATTTATTTATATAACTAATTATGAATATACTTTTTCAGTTTGTAAAGTTTGCCACCAACAATATGATTTATTTGTACCCGGTATAACTAGTTATACATATATTCTTTCAGTTTGTAAAGTTTGCCACCAACAATATGATTTATTTGTACCCGGTATAACTAGTTATACATATATTCTTTCAGTTTGTAAAGTTTGCCACCAACAATATGATTTATTTGTACCCGGTATAACTAGTTATACATATATTCTTTCAGTTTGTAAAGTTTGCCACTAACAATATGATTTATTTGTACCCGGTATAACTAGTTATACATATATTCTTTCAGTTTGTAAAGTTTGCCACTAACAATATGATTTATTTGTACCCGGTATAACTAGTTATACATATATTCTTTCAGTTTGTAAAGTTTGCCACCAACAAAATGATTTATTTGTACCCGGTATAACTAGTTATACATATATTCTTTCAGTTTGTAAAGTTTGCCACCAACAAAATGATTTATTTGTACCCGGTATAACTAGTTATACATATATTCTTTCAGTTTGTAAAGTTTGCCACCAACAATATGATTTATTTGTACCCGGTATAACTAGTTATACATATATTCTTTCAGTTTGTAAAGTTTGCCACTAACAATATGATTTATTTGTACCCGGTATAACTAGTTATACATATATTCTTTCAGTTTGTAAAGTTTGCCACCAACAATATGATTTATTTGTACCCGGTATAACTAGTTATACATATATTCTTTCAGTTTGTAAAGTTTGCCACCAACAATATGATTTATTTGTACCCGGTATAACTAGTTATACATATATTCTTTCAGTTTGTAAAGTTTGCCACCAAAAAAATGATTTATTTGTACCCGGTATAACTAGTTATACATATATTCTTTCAGTTTGTAAAGTTTGCCACCAACAATATGATTTATTTGTACCCGGTATAACTAGTTATACATATATTCTTTCAGTTTGTAAAGTTTGCCACCAACAATATGATTTATTTGTACCTGGTATAACTAGTTATACATATATTCTTTCAGTTTGTAAAGTTTGCCACCAACAATATGATTTAATTGTACCCGGTATAACTAGTTATACATATATTCTTTCAGTTTGTAAAGTTTGCCAATATAGAAGAAGATAACCCTTCATACCACAGACGATATGATTTCTTTGTATCAAAATTTAGTGCAATGTGTCATTGTGGCAAAGATAATGAAAACATTAAAACAAAGTAAGTAGTTATTAGAATCTGTAAATGTGCAATAATATTGAGTGTAACAAACACTGCATTAAATACAAAGTAAGTAATTATTGCAATCTATAAACGATGCAATAATATTGAGTGAAGAAACCACTGCATTAAATACAAAGTAAGTAGTTATTGCAATCTATAAATGATGCAATAATATTGAGTGTAGAAACCACTGCATTAAATACAAAGTGAGTAGTTATTGCAATCTATAAATGATGCAATAATATTGAGTGTAGAAACCACTGCATTAAATACAAAGTGAGTAGTTATTGCAATCTATAGATGATGCAATAATATTGAGTGTAGAAACCACTGCATTAAATACAAAGTAAGTAGTTATTGCAATCTATAAATGATGCAATAATATTGAATGTAGAAACCACTGCATTAAACAAAGTAAATGAGGCTGTTAGTTTTTTTGTTTGAATTGTTATATATTATTTATTTCGAGGTCTTTATAGCTTACTATATATATGCTGTATGGGTTTTGCTCATTGTTGAAAGCAGTACAGTGACCTATAGTTGTTAAAATTTCTATTGCATTTTGTGTCTGGTGGAGAGTTGTCTCATTATGTCATACCCTTGTCACTTTATTGGTCATTATGTTATACCCTTGTCACTAAATTGGTCATTATGTCATACCCTTGTCACCTGATTGGTCATTATGTTATACCCTTGTCACCTGATTGGTCATTATGTTATGCCCTTGTCACCTGATTGGTCATTATATTATACCCTTGTCACTTTATTGGTCATTATGTCATACCCTTGTCACCTGATTGGTCATTATGTAATACCCTTGTCACTTTATTGGTCATTATGTCATACCCTTGTCACCTGATTGGTCATTATGTCATACCCTTGTCACCATATTGGTCATTATGTTATACCCTTGTCACCTGATTGGTCATTATGTCATACCCTTGTCACCTGATTGGTCATTATGTCATACCCTTGTCACTTTATTGGTCATTATGTCATACCCTTGGTCACCTGATTGGTCATTATGCCATACCCTTGTCACCTTATTGGTCATTATGTCATACCCTTGACACCTGATTGGTCATTATGTCATACCCTTGACACCTGATTGGTCATTATGTCATACCCTTGTCACCTGATTGGTCATTATGTCATACCATTATCACCTGATTGGTCATTATGTCATACCCTTGTCACCTGATTGGTCATTATGTCATACCCTTGTCACCTGATTGGTCATTATGTTATACCCTTGTCACCTTATTGATCATTATGTTATACCCTTGTCGCCTGATTGGTCATTATGTCATACCCTTGACACCTGATTGGTCATTATGTTATACCTAGTCACCTGATTGGTCATTATGTCATACCCTTGTCACCTGATTGGTCATTATGTCATACCATTATCACCTGATTGGTCATTATGTCATACCCTTGTCACCTGATTGGTCATTATGTTATACCCTTGTCACCTTATTGATCATTATGTTATACCCTTGTCGCCTGATTGGTCATTATGTCATACCCTTGTCACCTTATTGGTCATTGTGTTATACCCTTGTCACCTTATTGGTCATTATGTTATACCCTTGTCACCTGATTGGTCATTATGTTATACCCTTGTCACCTTATTGATCATTATGTTATACCCTTGTCGCCTGATTGGTCATTATGTCTTACCCTTGTCACCTTATTGGTCATTATGTTATACCCTTGTCACCTGATTGGTCATTATGTCATACCCTTGTCACCTTATTGGTCATTATGTCATACCCTTGTCACCTTATTGGTCATTATGTCATACCCTTGTCACCTTATTGGTCATTATGTCATACCCTTGACACCTGATTGGTCATTATGTCATACCCTTGACACCTGATTGGTCATTATGTTATACCTAGTCACCTGATTGGTCATTATGTCATACCCTTGTCACCTGATTGGTCATTATGTCATACCATTGTCACCTGATTGGTCATTATGTTATACCCTTGTCACCTTATTGATCATTATGTTATACCCTTGTCGCCTGATTGGTCATTATGTCATACCCTTGTCACCTTATTGGTCATTATGTCATACCCTTGTCACCTGATTGGTCATTATGTCATACCCTTGTCACCTTATTGGTCATTATGTCATACCCATTGTCACCTGATTGGTCATTATGTCATACCCTTGTCACCTTATTGGTCATTATGTCATACCCTTGTCACCTTATTGGTCATTATGTTATACCCTTGTCACCTTATTGGTCATTATGTCATACCCTTATCACCTTAGTGGTCATTATGTTATACCCTTGTCACCTGATTGGTCATTATGTCATACCCTTGTCACCTGATTGGTCATTATGTCATACCCTTGTCACCTTATTGGTCATTATGTTATACCCTTGTCACCTTATTGGTCATTATGTCATACCCTTGTCACCTTATTGGTCATTATGTTATACCCTTGTCACCTGATTGGTCATTATGTCATACCCTTGTCACCTTATTGGTCATTATGTCAAATGATAGTTTACATTTATTTACTTCAGTAAGATGAATGAATAGTATTTGAAATTTAGTAATATTTAATTCCAAATTTCGTTTGTATCCCTCAATTAAATTGTTCCATGTGTCATTTTAGATCTGGACAATTGACAATGAGTCAAAGGTAAAATTAAATCTGATATTGCTAGCATGTCTCTATTGTCTCAGTGAGGGTAGGTTGGGGTAGGCAAGGATAGGAAGTTGATAGCATGTCTATGTTGTCTCAGTGAGGGTGGGATTGGGTTATTAAGGATAGGAAGTTGTTAGCATGTCTCTTTTGTCTCAGTGAGGGTGGGTGGGGGAAAGTAAGGATGGAAAGTTTATAGCTTGTCTCTATTGTCTCATTGAGGGTGGGTGAGGGTAATGAAGGATAAGAAGTTGTTAGCATGTCTTTATTGTTTAAATGAGGTTGGGGTGGGAGAAATTAAGGATAGGACGTTGCTACCGTGTCTATTGTCTCAGTGAGGGTAGGGTAGGGTAATTAAGGATAGGAAGTCATTAGCATGGCTCTATTGTCTCAGTGAGGTTAGGGTAGGGTTACCAAGTATAGAAAGTTGATTGCATCTCTCTGTTATTTCCGTGTACACAGGTAGGATAATTAAGGATATAAAGTTTGTATAATGTTTCTATTGTCTCAGTGCCGATGGGATTGGGTAGTTAAGGACAGGAAATTGGTAGCTTGTTTTTATTGTATTATGTAGATGGGATTGGGTAGTTAAGGACAGGATGCCTATATTATTGTCTCAATATATGTTGGTTATGTTTAATAAAGGAAAGGACTGGTATTGGTTTCAATGTAGACAGGTATGATAATTAAGGATAGGAAGTTGATGGCATGTCTCTTTTGTCTCAGTGTAGATAAGATGTAATAATGAAGGACAGGATATTGGTAGCATGTATCTGTTGTCTTTGGGGGGAAATTAAGAACAGGATATTAGTAGCATGTATCTGTTGTCTCTGGGCAGGAAATTAAGGACAGGATATTGGTAGCATGTATCTGTTGTCTCTGGGGGGGGGGGGATTAAGGACAGGATATTGGTAGCATGTATCTGTTGTCTCTGGGGGGAAATTAAGGACAGGATATTGGGCATTTATCTGTTGTCTCTGGGGGGAAATTAAGGACAGGATATTGGTAGCATGTATCTGTTGTCTCGGGGGGATTAAGGACAGGATATTGGTAGCATGTATCTGTTTTTCTCTGGGGGGGAAATTAAGGACAGGATATTGGTAGCATATATCTGGGGGGGAGGGGGGGAATTAAGGACAGGATATTGGTAGCATATATCTGTTGTCTCTGGGGGGGGGGGGAATTAAGGACAGGATATTGGTAGCATATATCTGTTGTCTCTTGGGGGGGGGGAATTAAGGACAGGATATTGGTAGCATATATCTGTTGTCTCTGGGGGGGGGGGAATTAAGGACAGGATATTGGTAGCATACATCTGTATCTGTTGTCTCTGGGGGGAAATTAAGGACAGGATATTGGTAGCATATATCTGTTGTCTCTGGGGAGGGGGGGATTAATGAGAGGATATTGGTAGCATATATCTGTTGTCTCTGGGTGGGGGGGGATTAAGGACAGGATATTGGTAGCATACATCTGTATCTGTTGTCTCTGGGGGGAAATTAAGGACGGGATATTGGTAGTATGTATCTGTTGTCTCTGGGGGGAAATTAAGAACAGGATATTGGTAGCATGTATCTGTTGTCTCTGGGCGGGAAATTAAGGACAGGATATTGGTAGCATGTATCTGTTGTCTCTGGGGGGGGGGGGGGATTAAGGACAGGATATTGGTAGCATGTATCTGTTGTCTCTGGGGGGAAATTAAGGACAGGATATTGGGCATTTATCTGTTGTCTCTGGGGGGAAATTAAGGACAGGATATTGGTAGCATGTATCTGTTGTCTCGGGGGGATTAAGGACAGGATATTGGTAGCATGTATCTGTTGTCTCTGGGGGGGAAATTAAGGACAGGATATTGGTAGCATATATCTGGGGGGGAGGGGGGGGAATTAAGGACAGGATATTGGTAGCATACATCTGTATCTGTTGTCTCTGGGGGGAAATTAAGGACAGGATATTGGTAGCATATATCTGTTGTCTCTTGGGGGGGGGGGGGGGGGAAATTAAGGACAGGATATTGGTAGCATATATCTGTTGTCTCTGGGGGGGGGAATTAAGGACAGGATATTGGTAGCATACATCTGTATCTGTTGTCTCTGGGGGGAAATTAAGGACAGGATATTGGTAGCATATATCTGTTGTCTCTGGGGAGGGAGGGGGGAAATTAATGAGAGGATATTGGTAGCATATATCTGTTGTCTCTGGGGGGGGGGGAATTAAGGACAGGATATTGGTAGCATGCATCTGTATCTGTTGTCTCTGGGGGGAAATTAAGGACGGGATATTGGTAGTATGTATCTGTTGTCTCTGGGGGGAAATTAAGAACAGGATATTGGTAGCATGTATCTGTTGTCTCTGGGCGGGAAATTAAGGACAGGATATTGGTAGCATATATCTGTTGTCTCTGGGGGGGGGGGGAAAATTAAGGACAGGATATTGGTAGCATATATCTGTTGTCTCTGGGGGGGAAATTAAGGACAGGATATTGGTAGCATACATCTGTATCTGTTGTCTCTTGGGGGGGGGGGGGGGGTAAATTAAGGACAGGATATTGGTAGCATACATCTGTATCTGTGGTCTCTGGGGGGAAATTAAGGACAGGATATTGGTAGTATGTATCTGTTGTCTCTGAGGGGAAATTAAGGACAGGATATTGGTAGTATGTATCTGTTGTCTCTGGGGAGAAATTAAGAACAGGATATTGGTTGCATGTATCTGTTGTCTCGGGGGGGGGGGGAAATTAAGGACAATTTGGCAGAAAAGATTCACAAGATACCAAGGAGGCATGATTGTTTAAATGTAACACTTTTCTTTTGGGTTACCATATCTAGTACTCAGTATAAGATAGATATTGTAAATATTATAACTAATCCTGTAAAAAATTGGTGAGTATAAATAATACCCTAACCTCTATCCTTTATACTCCAACACTCAGAAGAATTGCTGAGTGAAAAAAAAAACTCTAACCTCTAGCCTCATTACTCTAAAACTTATAAGAATTGGTGAGTTTAAATAATACCTTAATCTATAACATCTTTACTCTAAAACTTATAATTGGTGAATTTAATCAATACCCTAACCTCAAGGCATCTACTCTAAAACTAACAAGAATTGGTGAGTGTAAATAATGCCATAACCTCTAGCCTCTTTACTCTAAAACTTATAATTGGTGAGTTTAAATAATACACTAATCTCTAGCATCTTTACTCTAAAACTGATAAGAATTGGTGAGTTTAGTTAATACCCTATCCTAAAAGCCTCTTTACTCTAAAACTTATAAGAATTGGTGAGTGTAAATAATACCCTCACCTCTAGCCTCTTTACTCTAAAACTGATAAGAATTGGTGAGTGTAAATAATACCCTAACCTCTAGCCTCTTTACTCTAAAACTTATACTACTTGGTGAGTTTAAATAATACCCTAAGCTCTAACCTCTTTACTCTAAAACTGATAAGAATTGGTGAATGTAAATAATACTTTAACCTCTAGCCTGATTACACTCTAGAACTTGTTAGAATTGGTGAGATATTAATAATACCCTAACCTCTAGCCTCTTTACTCTAAAACTTATAAAAATTGGTTTGTGTAAATAATACCCTTACCTCTAGCCTCTTTACTCTAGAACTTATAAGAATTGGTTAGTGTAAATAATACCCTAACCGCTACCTTTAGCCTCGTCACTCATTAGAAAAGAGAAACATAACATGACTTTACATCTTTGTTAACTCTAACTCTAATTCTAACCCTGATTTATGACAAAACAATAAATGATAAACAGCAACCAACAACAACCACTAAATTACAGGTTCTGACTTGAGACAGGCACATATAGAATATTGCAGGGTTGAATATATTACTGAACACTCAACCCCCTCTAACCAGTAAGACAGTGGTGTAACAGCACAATATAAGAACAAACTGTAGAAACCAGTTGGAAATGGATTGACTAATCAGATCAGCCAGAAGCACACATGACAAAGAGAGGCAAAAGATACCAAAGGGACATTCAAACTCATAAGTCAAAATTGACTTAAAAAGACCAACAGACAAACAACAGTTCACTAAAAACAACATAGAAAACTAAAGACTGAGCAACACAAACCCTACCAAAAACTGGGGGTGATCTCAGGTGCTCCGGAGCTGCTTCACATGTTGTACCCGTCTTGTTGCTCATGTAAGTACAAACCTGGTGATAAGTCAAAATCAGTCGGTCACATTCAGGGACAACTCAAACACTCAAAGTACAGATCTAAGAGTACTTGCAGTTACTGAAAGCTATTTCAATACAAATAATAAGTAATAGATAAATGATATTCTCCCAGACTTAAGTATCATTCAAAACACAGTGAAAATGTCATAAACTGTTTGAGAAAGCATACCCTTGTCTGGCAGACAGGGTTCACATAACATTTACCTAATTTCATAGTTCAGTGATCAATTTAAAGTTTTTTCATGATAAGGTCAGGTTTGTCCTGCCTTCAACAAAAGTTGCAGAATGTAAGACCGTCTAGGGATGCTAATCTTGAAGATACATATGACTTATGTTACAAATTTCCGTCTGTCATATGTACAGTGTTATTGACCTGACTTTCATGGTTTAGCAACTGCTTAAACTATATAAAAGCTATATATCCATCTGGCAGAGTTCCTTTGACCTTGACCTCTTTTCATGATTCATTGGTCAGCATTCACTTTTTTGTGATTCGATCCATTTTTAAATTAATTGCTTTAATGCTATGGTGTATAGCTATTTTTGTGACCCAGATCAAGCCAAAGTTTTTTTAAAAACTCTATATGTATATATGTATGTTTCCTTATGACATATATTAATAAAAGCAGTTGAAAAACAACAGTGGATTTGTGAATTTTCAACATATGTTCTAGTAGATGTATTTTTAGGCAGTTAAGCTGCCTTATGCGAGCACCCTAGATTTGTGTTCTACCCAATAAATGCTGAAATACGGGCCATTGTTATTATCTAGCTGGCTATTATGTTATTTATAACTAATTGGACATTTTTTTAATACTTTTATTTCTGGAATACAAAAAATATGACCAGAAAAACCTTAAATGATCGTCGAACTACCCAAAACTATTGAAGTTGCACACAGGAAGTAGAGCTCAATAGAAATCTGTACGTAGTTTATTATCCCCTGTGCTTTTGGCTACGATTTCAAAGAACAATTGTATGAAATATTTCATCGCCGAAAATCGGTAATTACAAGTCGTTTATATTTCCCAAATGGCAAAATGCGCAGGAATACTGTTCATGTACAACAAATCTCTATGATAGAGGAAATAAAGTTATATAAGTGGGCGGTAATTTTTAACTTATATTGCCAAATAAGGTTGTTGTTATTTTATAAATGAAACATGCGGAAATCGACGTTGATGGGATGTTTTAAGTAATGTGGACAACTCGTCCCCGAGACAAGTCGGACCAAATCCACTCAAACCGTCTAAGAAGACAACTTTGACCGTTTGTCAGATTTACTTAGGGTTTCATAAAATATTAGACTAACATGTCTAGCAGAGCCATTAATCTTTTGTTTGTGCATTGGGGTCTATTTAGGGGTATTTGGAGGGGCCTGAAGAAGGGAGGGGTTTACTATAGAACCCTATGGGATTTTATTTTTTTAAATTTTCAAATGACTATTTCTCGAAAACAGTAAGTGATAGACACATGCAGTCTTCAGTAATGAGAACAGGACAATAAAAAAAATCAGCCAAAATATAGGGTGAGTCCCATGGGTCATCCCAACCCCCTTCAATTTGAAAATGTACTTTTATCTTGTAAACCGTCGCGATCCCCACCCCTATACAATAAATATACTTGTATGGGACAATAAAAGAAATCAAATGAAAATAATTTGGGGGAGTCCCCGGTGTTGTCCCACCCCCTCCTGTTTGAGAACTTGGAAATGGTCGAAATCCCCACCCCTAAACCATATATATATTCATGTATGGGACAATAAAACAAATCAAATGAAATATAGGGGGAGTCCCTAGGGTCACCCCACCCCCTCCTGTGTGAGAACTTGTAAACGGTCGAGATCCCCACCCCTAAACCATATATATTCATGTATGGGACAATATAACAAATCAAATGAAACATATGGGGAGTCCTTTGGGTCACCCCAACCCCTCCTGTTTGAGAACTTGGAAATGGTTGAGATCCCCACCCCTAAACCATATACATTCATGGATGGGTCAATATAACAAATCAAATGAAATATATGGGGAGTTACTCGGGTCACCCCACCCCCTCCTGTTTGAGAACTTGGAAATGGTCGAGATCCCCACCCCTAAACCATATATATTCATGTATGGGACAATAAAACAAATCATATGAAATATAGGGGAGTCCATGGGAACACCCCACCCCCTCTTGTATGAGAACTTGTAAACGGTCGAGATACCCACACCTAAACCATATTTATTTCTGTTCATCATTTCAAAAAGATTTTAATGACATACAGGGTCAATCTCCTAGGTGTCACATGCATATCACTTTACTAGACCAAACCAATATGAACTGGACTTTGCCCAATGTCAGGAGACCATGGGAATGACGAATTATGGGGGCTTTGTTTGGGAGACTTCGTAACGGCATCCTGTTACAATTATTTCTTGTTTATTATAAAATTTTATTGATGCAAAAAATGAGTCTAGGTTAATTGAATTTACTTTAATTATTTATTCAATTATTTCTGGGCCTATAATAATTTTCATTTATGGCTCATTTTAAAGAAAACATATAAATCTTTCAAGCAGTGTAAAGCCCAGGAATGTTTGACCAACTGTTTTATAATCACCTGTCATTTTATTCCAAACTTGGTATGGAGTAACATCACTTGGGGGTGAAGATGGGGGTCATTTACATTGATATATGAGTTGCTTTTGAAAACCTTGATGAAATATTAATTAATTTGCCTTAATAATCAATTCATTTTATGAACATAAATGTACAATATACGAATGTTTAATGTTTGTTCTTTCAAATCTTAAAAAAAAAATTGAAGCAACACTGCCACAGTTTTCATAATTACGTTTGCCTTGGTTTTTGGTTAACTGCCTACAGCGCTTACAGTGCTTTGATTGTATATAAGGTGACAACTGTTTGACTATCAAAGAAGATAGAAGTCCGATTGAAAAAGTGCATTTTTTATACCTGTGATTTCGTTCTTGAGTTGTTTTAACAAAATATTGAATCATGTCAGTTATTGATTTAATATTGAAAATTTGACTGAATTATCCCTTATACGGTTTTATGTTGTTTAATTCATCTTTTTTGTTGAAAGAGGTCAATTTGCTCTTGTTCCTTCATAAAATTATTGTAAAATCACTACGCACATTATAGTAATAATCTAATCTCACATTATTTGTTTTAAAAGTAGCACAATTTACACGTTCTGATTAACTTTACCATGTTTTTAATACTTTTATGAATTTACGGGCCCTGTTATTTATTAAGGGCTTCCTTAATTGCTGATTGATACTGATAGACTCTGTAAACAAGTGATATAATAATCAACTGATCAAGGTTACTTATCGAGACAGTGTCAAATGTCAAAATGACCCTCTAGGCAATTGAAAATGAATATCTGGAATTCTCGGGAATAAAAAAGTTTTAAAGCGTATTTACTATGACTTCATGAAACTTTTAACTAAAAAATTTATTTATTTGAAAATCTGTTGTTATATATTTTACACGGCTATGTCAATAGTAATATTATTGAAAGGGGTAAAGCTTGAGCCAGTTCACAGGTTAAGTGATAGTTAACGTGCATTTCATGAAAATTTCAGAAGCCGGTTCCATCTTCAAATCTTTAATCGGTATGTATGAACAGAGACATAATAATATTCTGAAAAAAACCATAGTTTTTTAGAACACTCACATCATGATAGTTGAAATAGTCAACTGAATGGTCAAGTTTAAACCAATTATGATAATGAAAATTAAAAGAAAAACAAAAAAGAAAATGATGCCAGGTGGATTGTCAGGTAAATTATTGCCCAGTAATAAACACCCTACAAGGGGGCTAATCTATTAGGATTTTTTCAGGAGTTATATGTTTCCACAAATATATTTGCCTCGACCATAAGCCGGGTAAATGTGTCGTCCCCCTGGGATGTAAAACATTGTAAATAGGACTTTCCGTTAAAAATCCTTACTTCTCACTAGACTAGACTCCTGTCAGGTTTAATTCTTTTACATGTGGATGAAAGATAAAAGTCACAAAAACATTAACTAGGCAGCAATTGCTTTAACAGCCTTTCAGGCTTTGATTCAGATACTGTTAGCAATAGTACGTTACATTGAACTTAAAACAAACTGCAAAGATCAAAGAAGCAGTAGATAAATGAAATGAATAGGAGATTATGGTGCTCAATGTAGCTTAAATGTTCTTTGAATTTGCCTATTACTGTGGATTCATTAATATTCGTTGGATACTAATTTTCGTTGATTTCGTGGGTACAGGGGAACCACGAAGTTAAATGTTCATCGAATTACAAATTTTCTAAAGGAATGTATGCAGACTTTGCCAAAACCACGAATTTAAATATCCACGAATATGTAAGTTTTCCTCAATCCACGAAAATTGGTACCCACGAAAATAAATGAATCCACAGTAGTTAGTCTTCATATTAGAATACCTTATGAAGGTTATTCCTGTCAAACTTACTTGCTTTAAGTGTACTGCAGGTTGCAGTTTACAATAACTGCATATATTTACAGAATCTACGTTGTTTTCATTTTTTACATCACTGGGTTGATACCTCTGCTGGTGGACTATCAGTCCCCGAGGGTATCATCAGCTCAGTAGTCAGTACTTCGGTATTGACATGATTAATAACAAACCTTTCTAAATTTGCCCATTTATAAATTTTGAATTGTAAAGAAGCTAAGGTTTCAATTCCCTCAGGCAAAGTTGGCCTTAGAAGGATTTGGCTAATATTTTAGGTCATTTTTGATTATATAGCTCTTCAACTGTTTATACATCCTTGGCTTTCAAATATTCGGTTTTGAGCATTCCTGATGATGAAGGTAAATCCACAAAAGCGCTTCGGACGCATTAAATTTATAACGCTTTGTTTTCATTTTTTAATGCTGGTATAGGTGTAATTATGACAATAATAAATTATTCCATATATTTACAGAATACGTAATGCTGGTTTAAGAGGTCTGCAGGGTGTAGTTAGAAAGACTGTATCAGATGATTTACAAGTGAACATTTGGGAGTCTATACACATGGATAAAATGGTTCCATCGTTGTTGTTTAACATGCATAATCCTAAGTAAGTATTACATGCAAGCCAAAGGGATGTTAATATGGTTTTTTACTTAGACAAGCCTCATAATAGCATGTGTTATGTAACATTTCAGTGTTTATTGGTCTTAAAACGGATGTGTTATGTTATATCTCACTGTTAATTGCTTATAACAGGATGTAATATGTTATATCTCAGTGTTATTTGCTCTAAATAGGGTGTGTTCTGTTATATCTCAGTGTTTCTTGCTTATACGGTGTGTCATGTTACATCTCACTGTTTATTGCTCATAATACAGGGTGTTATGATATATCTCTGTGTTTATTGCTCTTAATAGGATGTGTCATGTTATATCTCAGTGTTTATTGCTCTAAATAAGATGTGTCATGTTATATCTCAGTGTTTATTGCTCTTGATAAGGTGTGTTATGTTATATCTCACTGTTTATTGCTCTTAATAGGGTGTGTTATGTTATACCTCAGTGTTAATAGATTATGATAGGGTGTGTTCTGTTATATCTTAGTGTTGCTTGCTTATGATAGGATGTGTTATGTTATATCTCAGTGTTTCTTGCTTATGAAAAGATGTGTTATGTTATATCTCCGTGTTTCTTGCTTATGATAGGATGTGTTATGTTATATCTCAGTGTTTCTTGCTTATGATAAGATGTGTTATGTTATATCTCAGTGTTTCTTGCTTATGATAGGATGTGTTATGTTATATCTCAGTGTGTATTGCTTATGATAGGGTGTGTTATGTTATATCTTAGTGTTTCTTGCTTATGATAGGTTGTGTTATGTTATATCTCAGTGTTTCTTGCTTATGATAGGATGTGTTATGTTATATCTCAGTGTTTCTTACTTATGATAGGGTGTGTCATGTTATATCTCAGTGTTTCTTGCTTATGATAAGATGTGTTATGTTATATCTCAGTGTTTCTTGCTTATGATAGGATGTGTTATGTTATATCTCAGTGTTTCTTGCTTATGATAAGATGTGTTATGTTATATCTCAGTGTTTCTTGCTTATGATAGGATGTGTTATGTTATATCTCAGTGTGTATTGCTTATGATAAGATGTGTTATGTTATATCTCAGTGTTTCTTGCTTATGATAGGATGTGTTATGTTATATCTCAGTGTTTCGTGCTTATGATAGGTTGTGTTATGTTATATCTCAGTGTTTCTTGCTTATGATAGGATGTGTTATGTTATATCTCAGTGTGTATTGCTTATGATAAGATGTGTTATGTTATATCTCAGTGTTTCTTGCTTATGATAGGGTGTGTTATGTTATATCTCAGTGTTTCTTGCTTATGATAGGATGTGTTATGTTATATCTCAGTGTTTCTTGCTTATGAAAAGATGTGTAATGTTATATCTCAGTGTTTCTTGCTTATGATAGGATGTGTTATGTTATATCTCAGTGTGTATTGCTTATGATAGGGTGTGTTATGTTATATCTCAGTGTTTCTTGCTTATGATAGGTTGTGTTATGTTATCTCTCAGTGTTTCTTGCTTATGATAGGATGTGTTTTGTTATATCTCAGTGTTTCTTACTTATGATAGGGTGTGTCATGTTATATCTCAGTGTTTCTTGCTTATGATAAGATGTGTTATGTTATATCTCAGTGTTTCTTGCTTATGATAAGACGTGTTATGTTATATCTCAGTGTTTCTTGCTTATGATAGGATGTGTTATGTTATATCTCAGTGTTTCTTGCTTATGATAAGATGTGTTATGTTATATCTCAGTGTTTCTTGCTTATGATAGGATGTGTTATGTTATATCTCAGTGTTTCTTGCTTATGATAAGATGTGTTATGTTATATCTCAGTGTTTCTTGCTTATGATAGGATGTGTTATGTTATATCTCAGTGTGTATTGCTTATGATAGGGTGTGTTATGTTATATCTCAGTGTTTCTTGCTTATGATAGGTTGTGTTATGTTATATCTCAGTGTTTCTTGCTTATGATAGGATGTGTTATGTTATATCTCAGTGTTTCTTACTAATGATAGGGTGTGTCATGTTATATCTCAGTGTTTCTTGCTTATGATAAGATGTGTTATGTTATATCTCAGTGTTTCTTGCTTATGATAAGATGTGTTATGTTATATCTCAGTGTTTCTTGCTTATGATAAGATGTGTTATGTTATATCTCAGTGTTTCTTGCTTATGATAGGGTGTGTTATGTTATATCTCAGTGTTTCTTGCTTATGATAAGATGTGTTATGTTATATCTCAGTGTTTCTTGCTTATGATAGGGTGTGTTATGTTATATCTCAGTGTTTCTTGCTTATGATAGGATGTGTTATGTTATATCTCAGTGTTTCTTGCTTATGAAAAGATGTGTTATGTTATATCTCAGTGTTTCTTGCTTATGATAGGATGTGTTATGTTATATCTCAGTGTTTCTTGCTTATGATAGGATGTGTTATGTTATATCTCAGTGTGTATTGCTTATGATAGGGTGTGTCATGTTATATCTCAGTGTTTCTTGCTTATAATAGGATATGTTATGTTATATCTCACTGTTTATTGCTCATAATACAGTGTGTTATGTTATATCTCAGTTTTTCTTGCTTTTGATTGGATGTGTTATGTTATATCTCAGTGTTTGTATTAGAAGCATAAGAAAAATCTATGTATTAGAAATTAGAGATTTGATGATTTTAAGACAAATTTAAGAAAGTTTTTCGCCGATTGTATGTGCTTCCTATACAAACGTTTACCTATTTTTAAAGAATTCAATCAGTAATATTTCAGATAATAAAAGAGATAAAAGCATAATTTTTTCAATCTTCATTTATAGTTCAACAAGCCAAGGTTGTATGCAAAATTTTAGCAAAATTTGTGACATAGCCCATTTACTGTTCCTTGACTTTAAGGATGATCAAAGGAATACACTTTGGCCTTTTTAGCTTTTACAACCATGACAACATGTTTAATATAACCATGACAACAACATACATTCTTACACATTTTGTTTAATCTGCCATGACACCATTACACATTTAAGTATTTTATTAGAATTCTTATTTGATCAAACATGACAGCTGTGTTCATTCTGAAACTCTTATTCATGTATGATCATAATAACACATTCATCTTTCAGTTTTATGTCTGTGGATTTAGAAAGTCCTAAAGATGAAGAACACCCAGCATATTTATCAGAAGTTGTCTTCAGAGATCTGGTGTGCAGAGCTTCTTATGGAAATATCAAAAGTGTGTTGAAACCAGCATTAATGTGAGTACATAAATAAAAAGAACATCGCTGATGTGAGTACATAAATAAAATGAACAGTACTGATGTGAGTACATAAATAAAAAACTAGCACTAATGTGAGTACATATATAAAATTCAGTACTGATGTGAGTACACAAATTAAGGGATCATAGATTTATTCTTACGAGGAAGATCCGAGCATGCTCAGAGGATGCTCGGAGCTTTTTAAGTAGGCTCTTCTCAGCAGTTTATGTGACAATAATTATCATGATCCATTAAGATGTCAATCAAATCTATAGCACTTTTATAATAAGGAAAGTAGAGCATTATAGAGGAAGCTCCATTAACACCTGTGTAAACATCTGGTCTATTCAAACAAATCTTGCATTAATTTTTCAAAACTATAAAATAGATGAGAAATTCTTCAATATTACTGTACAATGCTTGGTATCAAGTCTTCACAGAAAGAAAATGATTTTAAAACATTTTCTTAATAATTATCATTCTTTTTCAATACACATGATACAAAAAAACACTCAAATTTTATATTTGAAATATAAATATATTTTAAATCTATACTATATAAAATGAAATATAAAAGTCATCAAAGACACTACCAAAACATAGCACATTCAGTTTCATGCGAAAAAGGGTTGATCTTTTTTTATATTCCATTTAATTTGACAGTTGTTTGAAATTAACCCTCCATTTCATTGCAGAAAAGTTTTTTTGAGTCGTAAACATGTTTCTTGGGTGTTTCAAAGCAATAAAAATATACTATATTCTACAGGGAAAAAAGGGGGAGGGAATTAGATTGGTTAACTTCTGGTGATGTTTACTTTCTTATATGTACTGAAAAGTTATGCTATATTTTCACTGTAGTACAGGACATTTATTTATGTCAAGTATTTCTTTATTTGAAACATAGATAAATTCTGCACATTTTTTTTGAAATATAACAATCATGACAATTAAACAAAGACTTATAGGGGGAAAATAATTTTACTCATGCCAAGTATTTCTTTATTTAAAACAAAGCTAAATCTGCACAATTAAAAAAAAAATGCCAAGTAAAGAGAGATGTACTAGAGGGAAAATAATGGAGGTATTACCCCCTCAAACCAGGCTTCCACTAATGAATTAAAACTTTTCTTAAAGTAGCCATAAATTTTTATAAAAGAACTTAGTTTGCTATTTTAAAAAACATATTACCATTGTTTAGTTAGGGGCATTACTTATACAAGTAATTTTCAAAATTACCTATACAAGTTATGTTGAAAACAAGGCTGTTTCAAATATTACTTCTATATCATGAATAAGTAACTTCTGTTAATATTATTTTTATAGGTGTTCATTCATACAGGTTTTACTAGCTTTAACAAATTTTCACAGACATCTGGTTATTTTCCCCATGAAATATACTGGTAAAACTATTTAAATCCTCAACAAGCACTAATTGCTTTTCTGATGCCACATTTCTTGGTCAAAGATTGGCCTCTTGGGGCTATTAAAATATCATTTCCCCTTAAAATCTTAGAGATAGACAGTTATAACTAGATATGGAACCTTTAATTAAGACTTGAAGTTAATTATAATTTGAATCTTAATCAAAAGCAATTACATATATTCCTTAAATAATTGTAAGTACTAAGTTTTTTGAAGTTGTATAAAATAATTTATTAAAGTAATATTTTTGTCATTATTTTTTAAAGTAACCTCTCTATACTCATCTAAAATTGGATAAATACTTAATTTTATTTAATGAAATGATATAAAAATTCTTGAAAACTACATTTAGTCCATGCTTTATTTGACATTTAAAATAACTATTGAGTTATTAAATAATTTTTAAAAACAAAAAATACTTATAAAAGTGACTAAAAAAAATTACTTGTTTAGTATCGCCACCTGAATGTTGATTGTGTCTTGATAACTTTTATGTAGCATATTATATAATATAAACTATTTTTAAATCATATCATCTAATTATAAAATTTGAGAATTTTTTTATTATTAAAAAAGGAATGATTATCAAATATAATAAGAAAATATTTAAATGACTTTTACTTTTTGTGGAGACAGATTTCTTTCCAAGCATAACACAGCTCTGTTGAAGAATTTCTAATCTATTTTATAGTTTTGTAAAATGTATTTGAATAGACCAGATGTTTACACAGGTGTTTATGGAGCTTCCTCTATAATGCTCTACTTTCCTTATTAGAGAAGTGGTGTAGATTTGATTGACATCTTAATGGATCATGATAATTATTGTCACATTAACTGCTGAAAAGAACCTTCTTAAAAAGCTCCGAGCATCCTCTGAGCATGCTCGGAGCTTCCTCGTAAGAATAAATCTATGATCCCTAAAGCAAACACTAATGTGAGAACATAAATAAAAACCAACCCTTATGTGAGTACACAAATAAAAGCCAACACTTATGCGAGTACGTTGATAAAAACCAACGCTGATGTGAGTACATAGATAAAAACCAGCACGGATGTAAGTACATAAATAAAAACCAGCACTGATGTGAGTACTTAAATTAAAACTAACACTAATGTGAGTTCATAAATAAAAACCCGCACTGATGTGAATACATAGATTAAAACCAGCACTGAAAGTAGTACATATTTAAAAACCAGCACTGATGTGAGTACATAGATTAAAACCAGCACTGATAGTAGTACATAAATAAAAACCAGCACTGATGTAAATACATAGATTAAAACCAGCACTGATAGTAGAACATAAATAAAAACCAGCACTGATGTGAGTACATAGATTAAAACCAGCACTGATAGTAGTACATAAATAAAAACCAGCACTGATGTGAGTACATAGATTAAAACCACCACTGATAGTAGTACATAAATAAAAACCAGCACTGATGTGAATACATAGATTAAAACCAGCACTGATAGTAGTACATATTTAAAAACCAGCACTGATGTGAGTACATAGATTAAAACCAGCACTGATAGTAGTACATAAATAAAAACCAGCACTGATGTGAATACATAGATTGAAACCAGTACTGATGTGAGTACATAAATAAAAACCAGCACTGATGTGAGTACATAGATTAAAACCAGCACTGATGTGAGTACATAGATTAAAACCAGCACTGATAGTAGTACATAAATAAAAACCAGCACTGATGTGAGTACATAGATTAAAACCAGTACTGATGTGAGTATATAAATAAAAACCAGCACTGATGTGAGTACATAGATTAAAACCAGTACTGATGTGAGTACATAAATAAAAACCAGCACTGATGTGAGTACATAGATTAAAACCAGCACTGATAGTAGTACATAAATAAAAACCAGCACTGATGTGAATACATAGATTAAAACCAGCACTGATAGTAGTACATATATAAAAACCAGCACTGATGTGAGTACATACATAAATCCATTACTGGTGTAAGTACATAAATAAGAACAAGCATGCACATGGATGTGAGTACATAAATAAGAACAAGATATCACATCAACATATTACCACCCTTGTAACACGCCCTGACATGCATGCAAATCAAATCTAGTGAAAAGCAGGGCTTGAACTGATATCAACATGCTCTTGCCCTGACATGCATACTAATCAGTTAAGTACAAACAGGCCTCATATCACAGCTCTCACCCTGCTTTTCAAACTATTTCCCTATGGACATTTAACACTCATCCATTCAATAAATTGATTATATGTCAAGATCGAAATAAACATAGATAAACAAATTTATAGTCATACCAGCTTTAAAACTAGTAATAACACCAGTGGTTCAATTGTCAATCGTTTTAAGATTATATGTAGAAGTTCAGACATTATCAGAAGTTATTGAGACTTTGGTGTCTGTGATATTACGTGTTTTTTAATAGTAATTTGTTTGTACTTATAATTGATAATTATATTTTTCAGACATTATGACAACCACAAGTTATGGGTTCCAAGTGATTTTGTTGTTAAATGTTTTAAGATTATAATGTACTCAGTACAGGTAAGTCAAGGTTGTATCTCTGTTGTGAAAACTTTTTCTTGATAAACCTACCAATTTCTTCGTGTGATTCACATATCATGCATATTGCAAATTAAGCTTACAACATGTTGAACTTTTGTAGGGAATGGTAGACTGGTAGACAAGAAAAAGGGGAAACCTTTTTTTACGTCCCCTCCACAAAGTGGTCGGGGCAATATGGTTTTACCCTTGTTCGTCATTCTGTCATTCAGCCATTCCATAATTCCACAATGAACAGCGGCCACTGATTTGTTTGAAATTACGAGCTTTGAAAATTTCGTAAAAATAACAGTTATATAGACTTTCTTTATTAAATTTTCACTCCTAAAACAGCTTCAAGCCTTTTTACAAGCAGGCCCATTCGTGTAATTCTGACACATCTAGTTTGTGTAATCAATTCCTATAGTTTTCAACCCCCAGAGGCTTCAATATTTTAGACCGTTTGTTTATACATTGAAGATGTGCTCTTTGTGTAAACATTTTGGTCCATTTTACGGACATTAGGATTTGATGAATTATGATATAGAAAAAGATCTCTCTTTTAACTTTATTAACAATTTATAACTCAAAGGGAATTTTTATATGCACTATTAAAATATTGGAAGAAATATATACCTTCCTCACTTACTATCTGAGGATTTGGCTTTGATTTTGGCATGTTTGAGAATAAAATATAAATTTTATATCTCAGTTCTTTGTCGAAAAAAATAGCAACACTTTGAAACGAAAATATATTTTCACCTGTGTTTTCATAAAGTTTTCCTTAACTTATAGTCTTTAAAGGTAATTTCCAAGTTGAAGGAAAATAAGATAAGTTGTTTTGAAATCGTGCTATTATCGGTGACAGAAAATCACAGACAGCTTTCCTGCAAATACAAATGCTTCCAGAAAAAAATTCTACTGTTCATTTTTTCTTGCAATTATGACAAAACATTTTTGAACCAATTCACAATTTGCTTATTTTTTGCCTTAAAGCTGAAAACCTCATTATTTAATGCTATAAATGGCATTTCTTTTTTTCCTGCAAAATTGTTATGTACTACAACCCAATACCAATTTCTAACTTTATTGACTTTACTTGGTGACAGAAAAATAACTAGTTGTTTATTTACCCAAAGTTGATTTTACAAGTTTCCATAAACTGCATCTCTGTTTTCCGATGACACTGCTTACAAATTCAGGCAACTGATTTGATGACGTCAGTGTGTTTTTTGGGAAATTTGGATGCATATTGTGAGCAACCTCCGGAAACAACATGTTTAACTTGGAGAAGTTATTTTCTGCCCTTGCTACTGGTACTGTATCATATGCCCTTTAGTATTTTCATCATGGTTTCAATGACTGCAAGCATTCTTTAGTGCAGTATAATTTGTTATTTCTTTTATTTTTTGTTAGTATTATATCATTAATTTAGTGTTAAGTGCTGTTTAAATGGTTTTTACTGTATGTTCTTTCATCATGTTAATGTATGTTTTGTTATAATGCTGAGATCTCAAAAAACTAGTTTCACCCTACCACATGAACTATTATTCTATTTCAGCAACAGTACGGTTATATTGTTATACAGACTTTAATGGAACATTTAGATAAACATACTAAAAGTGAACCACAGATAAAGAACAGTATTATAGATGTATTATATGAGTCGGTGTTAATAGCTGCTGGTGGATCAATCGGACCTTCTGTGTTAGACGTAATCAACACTTTACTAAGACATCTAAGGCTTTCTATAGAAACAAATGATCAAACAAAAGAACAGTTTGAGGATAATATCATTAATACTATAGGTAATATGACAATACATACTGAGTACTTTAAATACAAAGCAACACCTTCAATACTATAGGTAATATGACAATATATACTGAGTACTTTAGATAGAAAGCAACACCTTCAATACTATAGGTAATATGACAATATATACTGAGTACTTTAAATAGAAAGCAACACCTTCAATACTATAGGTAATATGACAATATATACTGAGTACTTTAGATAGAAAGCAACACCTTCAATACTATAGGTAATATGACAATATATACTGAGTGCTGATAGAAAAGTAACACCTACAATACTAAAGGTAATATGACAATATATACTGAGTGCTGATAGAAAAGCAACACCTACAATACTATAGGTAATATGCCAATATATACTGAGTGCTAATAGAAAAGCAACACCTACAATACTATAGGTAATATGACAATATATACTGAGTGCTGATAGAAAAGCAACACCTACAATACTATAGGTAATATGGACTATATATACTAAGTGCTGATAGAAAAGTAACACCTACAATACTAAAGGTAATATGACAATATATACTGAGTGCTGATAGAAAAGCAACACCTACAATACTATAGGTAATATGCCAATATATACTGAGTGCTAATAGAAAAGCAACACCTACAATACTATAGGTAATATGACAATATATACTGAGTGCTGATAGAAAAGCAACACCTACAATACTATAGGTAATATAACACTATATACTGAGTGCTGACTATAAGCACTACAAACCAGTAAAAGTCTGAAATGGCCTATATCTGTACTCGACTGTACTGATTATTACTCGACCAGTCTGAACTGGTCTGAAATTTACTTGATAATACTCGACTGTAGTCTGAACCATACTTAACAGTCTGAACTTGTACTCGACCCTTACTCGACCAGTACTTAACCATTTTATATGCGTCTGAACCATGCTCGACCTAGTCTGAACCATACTCGACCTAGTCTGAACCATACTCGACCAAGTCTTAACCAACCTAGACCTATTTTTTGTATCTATCTATTGTATTTCATCAATTTAGGAACTGTTTTTAACAACAGCTATTTCCCTTGGCTAGAAATTTGAACAACAATTTGAAATTAAAAATGTATTCAATATAGCATTGAAACCAAAATCTCACAATAAACAAAATATAACTTCATCACCATATTCATCAACACTTATATACATACATACCGGGTATATATCACCTTTAAAATAAAAATAAAACAAGCTGATCAAATAATCTCAAAACTGAATTGACTATTATTTTAAATGTTATTTAAAATTTTTTGAATGTTTCAGATATATTTTATGGTTACTGGACAATTTTCACCATTAACTTAAGCCTCGTATAGATTTATGGTGTCATTTGAGTTTAGTTAATAATGCAGTGAACATTTTTTTTATTGAAATATATATAAAATAGCATATAAAGCAACTTAATAAATTTAAAAATTGACACCTTTGTTTTGTTAAACCAAGAATCATGATAATAGAAAATCCATAGTAATCCTGTGATAAACTTTTAAAAAGGGAAATGCGTTCCAAAGTTACAGTGAAAAATTTATTTCAATTAAATTTACATAATTTTTGTCAAAATTAAAGACATGGCATACAAGAAGCAAGCACTTTAATAAGGTTTAATTACCTCAGTACATGTGTGTTTTACTGGTAAAAAGAAAGCCCTATTTTTCTTAAACTTTATCTAGTGAATTCAAAAGGCCTTGCGATTTAAGTTTCACAGGATGTTGCAATTTTGAATGAATGTTATTTAGAACTTAATACTCTCTGACCAGGTGTGATCTTTTTCATGAGTTTGCCCCAAGCAGGAGGTATTACTTTATACTTCACCACTAATCAGAAGAACAATTTTATTAATTTCTTTAATTTTTATCCCTTTTTGATATATATTGTATATAATATATCCCAAATTATAATAATAGATATATTTCTAAAATAAGGTTAAACAATTTCAGTGATTTTGTTGGCTGTTGTTACCTCATTAAAAAGATAATTATATAACTATTGTACATTTTTTGTATGTAACCATGCAACCTATGTAGTTTTTATTTAGGAATTTAGGATAATTTAAAAAAAAAAAACATGCCAAAACAAGAAGCACCTTAATAAGGTTTAATTACCCTCAGTTTAGGTGTGGTTTTTAGGTAAAAAAAATCTTTTTTTAACAAAACTCTAAAACTTTAAAATTAATATAATTAAATTATTATATAAGATAATTTGATTTAACTATCTCTATTCGATAAATCTGAGAATCATGTAAGAATGTAAAAATCTGTTTTTATAATATATCTTTATTTTATTGTGGCTGTTGTCATGTCAGTTAAAAAGAAATTTATTTTAACAGTTAAAATTTAGAAAAAGTAAAGGTTATTTGGTTAAGTATGGTTCAGACTGGTCGAGTATTGTTCAGACCTTTGGTCGAGTATGGTTAAGACTGAAAAAAAAAAGGTCGAGTACAGGTCGAGAATGGGTTAAGACTGTTTCAGACTGGTCGAGTAATAGTTCAGACTATTTTCAATGGCAAAGAAAAGGGTCAAGTACAAATCAGTACAGTCGAGTATGGTTAAGACTGGGGTCGAGTAATGTCGAGTAAAATTCAGACCAATTCAGACTGGTCGAGTAAAAATCAGTACAGTCGAGTACAGATATAGGCCATTTCAGACTTTTACTGGTTTGTAGTGAAGTAATATAACACTATATACTGAGTGCTGTGAGAAAAACAACACATACTATACTATAGGTAATATGGACAATATATACTGAGTGCTGATAGAAAAGCAACACCTACAATACTATACATGCTATAGGTAATATAACACTATATACTGAGTGCTGTGAGAAAAACAACACATACTATACTATAGGTAATATGGACAATATATACTAAGTGCTAATAGAAAGCAACAACTACAATACAATAGGTAATATGACAATATATACTGAGTGCTGATAGAAAAGCATCACCTACAATACTATAGGTAATATGACAATATATACTGAGTACTTTAAATAGAAAGCAACACCTTCAATACTATAGGTAATATGACAATATATACTGAGTGCTGATAGAAAAACAACACATACAATACTATAGGTAATGTAACACTATATACTGAGTGCTAAAAGAAAGCATCACCTACAATACTATAGGTAATATGACAATATATACTGAGTGCTCATAGAAAGCAACACTTACAATACTATAGGTAATATAACAATATATACTGAGTGCTCATAGAAAGCAACACTTACAATACTATAGGTAATATGACAATATATACTGAGTGCTAATAGAAAAGCAACACCTACAATACAATAGGTAATATGGACAATATATACTAAGTGCTAATAGAAAAGCAACACCTACAATACAATAGGTAATATGACAATATATACTGAGTGCTCATTGAAAAGCAACACCTACAATACTATAGGTAATATGGACAATATATACTAAGTGCTAATAGAAAAGCAACACCTTCAATACTATAGGTACTATAACAATATATACTGAGTGCTAATAGAAAAGCAACACCTACAATACTATAGGTAATATAACACTATATACTGAGTGCTCATAGAAAGCAACAACTACAATACAATAGGTAATATGACAATATATACTGAGTGCTGATAGAAAAGCAACACCTACAATACTATAGGTAATATAACACTATATACTGAGTGCTCATAGAAAGCAACAACTACAATACAATAGGTAATATGACAATATATACTGAGTGCTGATAGAAAAGCAACACCTACAATACTATACATGCTATAGGTAATATAACACTATATACTGAGTGCTAATAGAAAAGCAACACCTACGATACTATAGGTAATATGGACAATATATACTGAGTGCTGATAGAAAAGCAACACCTACAATACTATAGGTTATATGACAATCTATACTGAGTGCCATTAGAAAGCAACTTTATGGAGTTATTGCCCCTGAAATATCTAGTTTATTCATTTTTTGGCTGTTATTGTGAAAACTGTAGTATTTAGGTTAAAAATGTTAACTGCAAATAGATGATCAGCATGACAAGATCTATTTAATCTGAAAGTTGTTGCTCCTAATATATTGATTTTTGTTGCGTTTTGCAGTTTTTACTGTTATCTAAAAAAACTATAAGAGCTTGGTCGAACTTGTGAATTGCAAACATGATCAGCCAAACAAGAGTAGCAAAACTGCATTATGTGCATATAAAAGTCTTAATAAGCAAATGGGTGATTTTTTTCACAAGTACTAGCCTGGCATCCCGGCCCAATCTAGCTGCGCGTCGCAAGGGCCAGGTGGGGAACAAATACCACGTGATTGATTCAGTGCCAGTTGACTCTGAATCTAAAGTGAGGCTGAATAAATATTTGCATAAATTTTGATGTTTGATGTAAACCAGCGATTTCAAACCAATGATTAAGAAACATTGCTTCTGATTCAATAAATTTTGCTCTCAGATTGACGAGTCCCCATTGTCAGTAATATAATAAAATAAATATATATTAAACAGTATAAATAAATACTAGTATGTGTAATCAAAAGAAACTTTGAAAAATGTTGTACATTTAATATATATTTTATCAGGAAGGATTATATGGCGTAAGAGTCAACGAAACAACTCTTTATAATAAAAAAAATCAAACTTAATAAATATTGTAATTGTCTAATGTAATTATAATTTAAAATAGATGTACGATGGTGTATCTTCGCACATGTACACATCATTTGAAATGTAACCCCCCAAAAAAAATAACTGCAATTTTTGTTGGCCTTTACTTTTTATGGTTTTTTCCATATATATTTTGCCCTTTGAGATACATGGGTACATGTAAATTAGGTCGTAAAAGTGAAATCCAATTCACACCTTGGTCATGTGAAATCTTAAACTTTTAACTTTCTCACCAGTTGATTGCTGATAAGAGTTAACCCTTTTCTGCTTACTAATTATCATCATACAAATAATTAGATATGATAACACTGTACATCAATTCATAAAGAAAAATAAATACAGTCTAATTTTTACTAATTGATGTTAAACAAAAATTGATTGGATACAGATGTAAAACAAACATTGCGCGACAAAATTAGTATTAACCAATCATTGACAGGCAGGACATTGATACACGCCTGGCTATACTGACAAGATTAGCCAGGACCCCAGGCTACACAAATACGTGATACAGCCTCAAGTGTGCCTCTTGTTTGTTTTTACAGTTTTATAATTGTAAAGACACATTTCTCTGAAATAAAGTTAATTACTAATGGTCTGATTTTAAAAAAGATACAAAGATTAAACTGCCATTTGTATTATGGTATATGTAGATTACATATTCTTTTTTTTACAGGGGAATTTGCAAAGAATCTTCCTGACTACCAGAAGATAGAAATTATGATGTTTATAATGGGAAAGTTTCCACAGTTCTCCTCAGAAGAATTAGGGTAAAGTCCATACCTACATAGCCAGTGCTTATAATCAATAAGTTTTCTATAGTTCACTCCATAATTCGGGTAAATGTTCGTACCAATAATCCTTCAATTTATATTCAATAAATTTTAAGCACTCCACAATTAGGGAAAATGGTCCCTAGCATTAATAATAGTCCCCAACTGTTTTATAATTTCATAGAAAATATCTTTTCAATTAAAGATGCGCTTTGAAATTGTCAAAAATATTTGTCTGTCCAAAGTCTTGTCAGTGATTGTCTTAAAGCAAAATATTTGTCTGTCCCAAGTCTTGTCAGTGGTTGTCTTGCACAAGTCTTGTCAGTGGTTGTCTGTCCTATGTCTTGTCAGTGGTTGTCTTGCAGCAAAATATTTGTCTGTCCCAAGTTTTGTCAGTGGTTGTCTGTCCTATGTCTTGTCAGTGGTTGTCTTGCACAAGTCTTGTCAGTGGTTGTTTTGCAGCACAGTATTTGTGTGTCCCAAGTCTTGTCAGTGGTTGTCTTGCAGCAAAATATTTGTCTGTCCCAAGTTTTGTCAGTGGTTGTCTGTCCTATGTCTTGTCAGTGGTTGTCTTGCACAAGTCTTGTCAGTGGTTGTCTTGCACATGTCTTGTCAGTGGTTGTCTGTCCTATGTCTTGTCAGTGGTTGTCTTGCACAAGTCTTGTCAGTGGTTGTCTTGCACAAGTCTTGTCAGTGGTTGTCTTGCACATGTCTTGTCAGTGGTTGTCTTGCACATGTCTTGTCAGTGGTTGTCTTGCACATGTCTTGTCAGTGGTTGTCTGTCCTATGTCTTGTCAGTGGTTGTCTTGCACATGTCTTTTCAGTGGTTGTCTTGCACAAGTCTTGTCAGTGGTTGTCTGTCCTATGTCTTGTCAGTGGTTGTCTTGCACAAGTCTTGTCAGTGGTTGTCTTGCACATGTCTTGTCAGTGGTTGTCTTGCACATGTCTTGTCAGTGGTTGTCTTGCACAAGTCTTGTCAGTGGTTGTCTTGCACATGTCTTGTCAGTGGTTGTCTTGCACAAGTCTTGTCAGTGGTTGTCTTGCACAAGTCTTGTCAGTGGTTGTCTTGCACAAGTCTTGTTAGTGGTTGTCTTGCACATGTCTTGTCAGTGGTTGTCTGTCCTATGTCTTGTCAGTGGTTGTCTTGCACAAGTCTTGTCAGTGGTTGTCTTGCACATGTCTTGTCAGTGGTTGTCTTGCACAAGTCTTGTCAGTGGTTGTCTGTCCTATGTCTTGTCAGTGGTTGTCTTGCACAAGTCTTGTCATTGGTTGTCTTGCACATGTCTTGTCAGTGGTTGTCTTGCACAAGTCTTGTCAGTGGTTGTCTTGCACATGTCTTGTCAGTGGTTGTCTTGCACATGTCTTGTCAGTGGTTGTCTTGCACAAGTCTTGTCAGTGGTTGTCTTGCACATGTCTTGTCAGTGGTTGTTTTGCACAAGTCTTGTCAGTGGTTGTCTTGCACATGTCTTGTCAGTGGTTGTCTTGTAGCAAAATATTTGTCTGTCCCATGTTTTGTCAGTAGTTGTCTGTCCTATGTTCTTGTCAGTAGTTGTCTGTCCTATGTTCTTGTCAGTGATTGTCTTGCACATGTCTTGTCAGTGGTTGTCTGTCCTATGTCTTGTCAGTGGTTGTCTTGCACAAGTCTTGTCAGTGGTTGTCTTGCACAAGTCTTGTCAGTGGTTGTCTTGCACATGTCTTGTCAGTGGTTGTCTTGCACATGTCTTGTCAGTGGTTGTCTTGCACATGTCTTGTCAGTGGTTGTCTGTCCTATGTCTTGTCAGTGGTTGTCTTGCACATGTCTTTTCAGTGGTTGTCTTGCACAAGTCTTGTCAGTGGTTGTCTGTCCTATGTCTTGTCAGTGGTTGTCTTGCACAAGTCTTGTCAGTGGTTGTCTTGCACATGTCTTGTCAGTGGTTGTCTTGCACATGTCTTGTCAGTGGTTGTCTTGCACAAGTCTTGTCAGTGGTTGTCTTGCACATGTCTTGTCAGTGGTTGTCTTGCACAAGTCTTGTCAGTGGTTGTCTTGCACAAGTCTTGTCAGTGGTTGTCTTGCACAAGTCTTGTTAGTGGTTGTCTTGCACATGTCTTGTCAGTGGTTGTCTGTCCTATGTCTTGTCAGTGGTTGTCTTGCACAAGTCTTGTCAGTGGTTGTCTTGCACATGTCTTGTCAGTGGTTGTCTTGCACAAGTCTTGTCAGTGGTTGTCTGTCCTATGTCTTGTCAGTGGTTGTCTTGCACAAGTCTTGTCAGTGGTTGTCTTGCACATGTCTTGTCAGTGGTTGTCTTGCACAAGTCTTGTCAGTGGTTGTCTTGCACATGTCTTGTCAGTGGTTGTCTTGCACATGTCTTGTCAGTGGTTGTCTTGCACAAGTCTTGTCAGTGGTTGTCTTGCACATGTCTTGTCAGTGGTTGTTTTGCACAAGTCTTGTCAGTGGTTGTCTTGCACATGTCTTGTCAGTGGTTGTCTTGTAGCAAAATATTTGTCTGTCCCATGTTTTGTCAGTAGTTGTCTGTCCTATGTTCTTGTCAGTAGTTGTCTGTCCTATGTTCTTGTCAGTGATTGTCTTGCACATGTCTTGTGTCTGTCCCAAGTTTTTTCAGTGGTTATCTTGCAGCAAAATATTTGTCTGTCCCAAGTTTTGTCAGTGGTTGTTTTGCATCAAAATATTTGTCTGTCCATTGTTTTGTCAGTGGTCGTCTTGCAGCAATTTATTTGTCTGTCCAAAGTTTTGTCAGTGGTCATCTGTCCCAAGTCTTGTCAGTGGTTGTCTATCCCAAGGCTTATCTGTCTTGTCAGTGGTCATCTGTCCCAAGTCTTGTCATTGGTTGTCTGTCCCAAGGCTTGTCAGTCTTGTCAGTGGTCATCTGTCCCGAGTCTTGTCATTGGTTGTCTGTCCCAAGGCTTGTCAGTCTTGTCAGTGGTCATCTGTCCCAAGTCTTGTCATTGGTTGTCTGTCCCAAGTCTTGTCATTGGTTGTCTGTCCCAAGACTTGCCAGTCTTGTCAGTGGTCATCTGTCCCGAGTCTTGTCATTGGTTGTCTGTCCAAAGGCTTGTCAGTCTTGTCAGTGGTCATTTGTCCCAAGTCTTGTCAGTGGTTGTCTGTCCCAAGGCTTGTCAGTCTTGTCAGTGGTCATCTGTCCCAAGTCTTCTCATTGGTTGTCTGTCCCAAGGCTTGTCAGTCTTGTCAGTGGTCATCTGTCCCAAGTCTTGTCATTGGTTGTCATTCCCAAGTCTTGTCATCGGTTGTCTGTCCCAAGGCACGTCAGTCTTGTCAGTGGTCATCTGTCCCAAGTCTTGTCATTGGTTGTCTGTCCCAAGGCTTGTCAGTCTTGTCAGTGGTCACCTGTCCCAAGTCTTGTCATTGGTTGTCTGTCCCAAGGCTTGTCAGTCTTGTCAGTGGTCATCTGTCCCAAGGCTTGTCAGTCTTGTCAGTGATCATCTGTCCCAAGTCTTGTCATTGGTTGTCTGTTCCAAGGCTTGTCAGTCTTGTCAGTGGTCATCTGTTCCAAGTCTTTTTATTGGTTGTCTGTCCCAAGGCTTGTCAGTCTTGTCAGTGGTCATCTGTCCCAAGTCTTGTCATTGGTTGTCTGTCCCAAGGCTTGTCAGTCTTGTCAGTGGTCATCTGTCCCTAGTCTTGTCATTGGTTGTCTGTCCCAAGGCTTGTCAGTCTTGTCAGTGGTCATCTGTCCCAAGTCTTGTCATTGGTTGTCTGTCCCAAGGCTTGTCAGTCTTGTCAGTGGTCATCTGTCCCAAGCTTGTCATTGGTTGTCTGTCCCAAGGCTTGTCAGTCTTGTCAGTGTTCATCTGTCCCAAGTCTTGTCATTTGTTGTCCGTCCCAAGGCTTGTCAGTCTTGTCATTGGTCATCTGAAAGCTGTTTTCCGATGACTTTGTTGTGTATAGAAAACATATAACAGTTAATTTTCCCCAAAAACTGTACCGATGGTAAGCATTATTTTATTTCTTTAAGTTCTCATTTGACCAAGTACCAGGATGCCCTATGACAGTAAGTAACCTGTCACAAAATATAAATTCTGGAGTCAAAAGTCTGTAACATGAAACTAGTCTATTGTCGTCCTTATATCTTTTATACATTGATCCACGTGTTTAGGAGAATATGTTTGAGAAAAATACATATAGGTTGAAATGATGTAATTATTTACTTAGGCGACAATGGTAGCATTTTTGGGTCCTGCATTTTTATTATAAAAGATCTGTTGATAAAAATGTCAAATTCTGAATTATCAACACCTTTGGGTGTAAATAAAACTGCAAAACATATATGGTACCGCAGCTTATTGATAGAAAAATGGCATTTTTTTGGGGTAATCAATGGTTTTGTAATTTTCGAAATAGTATGAATGAAGAACACCCCTTGCTTAATTTGGCACAGACAATGTTGCTCGTCACATAGAGTTTCCTCCAAATTTCTTGCTATTTCTACACCAATGGCCAACACTCATTTCTCACTATTTCAATTTTGATTTCTAATTACCAGGGCAGCAGAAAATAAATTTACTTCTACCTATTATCTTAGGTGCAAAATCTAGGTGGCACCAGTCATCTTTAATTACTCCCTTTTAACTAATAGTGACTACTTAATAAAGATGATTATTGAATGTTAGATAAATTATGTCAGTACATTAGCACTGACTATGGAGTACTGAATGTGACTATCTGTGGTTTCATTCTGAATTGATTAAAAAATTCTGATATTTTTAAAGTGGCAACTGTGAAAAAAGTATTTCAGCAAACGATGTAGAATGGGACTATTTTGGTTGGTACATAAATAGGCCAATTAGAATTAAGCATTATTGATTTATCATTTCTTAAGGTTGAAAATTATTTTCTGAGTTTATTTTGCTTAAAATATTGTAACTAGACTGCAGGATGTATATTGGATATTAATGTTTATTTCCAGAGAAGCAGTAGATACAAGAATGCAGACCATGCTCCTGAAAACATTACTTAAAGTAAGTTTTTATCAATTAAATTTGCCATATGTAAACATGTTTAAAGCCATATTTGGACCTTTTTTTGGTGATTAAACACAAAAACTTTCAATTACAAATTTTGGATTTTTCTCAAATTTTTCAGAAAGAGAGTTAGTGTATATGGCACTCATACCACATCTTCTTACATCTATAGACATATCTCTGTATCAACAGTTTGTTTTAATAACATTTGGAATATCTTCTTTACATAAGTATGCTATAAATTTGTTCATAAAAATTGGTACACATAATCTTCACTCATAAATAAGCCATATGCCATTTTAAAAAACAGAGGTGGTAGTATACTTGTTTTCAAGCTAATGATTAAAATCAGTAGAAAAATACATCTTCTACCAATATGTCACAGTTTGACATCCAGAAAAATAGCATCATTACCTCCCCTGTAACTGTATGGTATGCTCTTAAGGTGGTACCTAACACTACAGGGAGATAACTTTGTAAAAATCAGCTAAATGTTTTAATTACGTTGTATTGTTAAGGAAATATTAAGCTTCTCAATGATCAAAATTAGTGTTTGTCAAACTGCTATATAACCAATGAAATTTTTCTGATAAAGTGGTTGGTTCAAATTTTTTGAAATTTTTATATTTTTGTCAAAGGGTCAAAGTAAACATTTTGTCAAAATTTTATGAAAATTAAACGAGCCAAATTAATATTAGTCAAGGTGTTGGGTACCACCTTAAGTACCCTGAAATTGGCATTTTTGTCCCAATTTAGGAAAATAGAAATCATTGAAAATGAATGAGTCCTCAGTATTAAATATATTGGAAAATCAGTTTTTGATGAACAAAGCAACAAAAAATATACTATCGAAATTGATAACTTTGTGGGGTAACTTTTCTTAAGTCATTAGCTTTCATAATATGACAAAAAGAGTTCTTTTCTTGTCCTACCTTGAATAATGCAACAATTGGTTGAATTACAGTAAGGTCTGCTTCAATTAAGGTGGCTCGGCCCTTTAACAGTGCGCATATTTTAACGCATGTTTCTAACGACGAGCTCCTTGGAAACGGTCGCTTTGAGGGGTTTTCTCAAAAATAGTTTTGACGACATTGGAACGCGGGCGTGTATGAAAGCACCCTTTCCCGATGTCAACAAACCATGCAAAACGTTCTACAAAACATGAAATACGTACGGTCAGAACTACAGAGTGGTTTGTTCATTTCACATAAAAAGGACAGAATTATACATGATATATTAAAGCATAACATTGAAAAAAAGAAAATATAAATATTGACATGTACGACGCCGACGGTATCTGGTGCGTTCGCTCCAAAACTCACCTACACGTTCGCCCCTTAGATCCGTTCGCACCCTATTTTCATTTAAATACTGGTTGAATATATCAAAAGATGTCTTTTAGATGTATTAGTATATATATATATATTTAAGAACATTTGTTGTTCGACCTGCTAGTCAAATGCGTTTTGTTAAAATATACTTTTTCACTTTTTTGGTCTTTTGGAAAATGTTGTTTGTGCTGTATTTAGACCCCTCTATAAAGAAATTTGTTTTGCATGCACACGTATAAAAATTGCGGTTTTTATCCAACGCAATCATAGGTTTGAACGTTGTTTTCAATTTAGACTTGTTTATATATATATATATGAAAATATTTTGCCAATGACTCAACGTTTTACCGTGACCGTAAACAAAGGATAGCGATCGATGTAAACAACTGCATGCCACCTTACGGCTTCATTGGCGGATCCAACACTTTTTGTAAGGGGGCCCACTGACTGACCTAAGGGGGGCCGCTCCAGTCATGCTTCAGTGATTCCCTATATAATCAACCAAATTTTTCCAACAAAAGGGGGGGAGCGGGCCGTTAGGACCTATGGATTCGCCTATGGGCTTTCAAAAACAAGTAAAACCCATATAGTATGCTATTATAGTATAAAAGCATCGGGGTTCATCTGCACGCTATAAATAATAAATAAATAAATAATAATAAAAAATAAGCGTTTTTTAGAGTCGGCAAAGTATACAAATAGAGTCAACATAAGCTCTAATGAGCTTTTAACCGTTTTATCCGTTTGGCGTATTATAACATTTTGTTACTGTCATAAATTTCTTTTTTACTTGAAATATCTTCATTTCCAAGTATTGGTGGGATCTCATTCTGGAGTAAGTGAAATATTTTCCCACTGCAAAATTTTGATAATAGTTACGTATTTTTTATTTGCCAAAAATTTTTGAACATAACAATTCCGGAGTATGTGAAATATTTTAACACTGCAAAGTTTTGATAATAGCTAAGTATTTTTTATTTTTCCCAAAAAAATTTTGGACATTACAATTTTCAAACAAAGACTAAATACTTGACAGTTACACATAACATTTTTATTTAAAGATTTATATACTTTATCAAATAATGGGCACGAAAAATATATCTAACAAATTTTCTCGTATCATGATTCTATGGTTTTTGGAACTCTAGTCCTATAACATGAGACCTCGGGGCCAATGTTTTGTATTTATGATATTTTCCATTTACTTATTTCGATATTTGTTAATTTTGTATTTTCTGTTGTATCTTTCAATATGCCAACATAGTTCGCATTTAAAAAAAGAGGAAATATCAGCGTAAAATATTTGGTTTGACCAAGTCGGGAATTTTTCATAAAAGGGGTAGGGGGGACTGCCTAAGAGAGGCTTGCTCCAGTCACGCTTCAATGATTCCCTATATAATCAACAAATGGTCCCTCCCCCTAAATCCGCCTCTGTTACAATTACCCCATCAACCAAATATTTTGAAACATATATATATAGTATGCCAGTAACAGACACAAAAGTGCACACGCTGAAATGTCTCGCCTTCTTTACTAATCATTGATATTATGTTGATAGTCCTAAATATAAAGCTTTATTACAACTGTCACATAAACTTAACATTAACCAAGTAAACTAAACATTGACCAATGAACCATGAAAATGAGGTCAAGGTGAAATAAAACCTGCGTGACTGACATATAGATCATAAAATATTTCCATACACCAAATATAGTTGAACTATTGCATATAGTATTAGAAAAAAAGACCAAAACTCAAAAACTTAACTTTGACCACTGAACCATGAAAATGGGGTCAACGTCAGATGACACCTGCCAGCTAGACATGTACACCTTACAATCATTCCATACACCAAATATAGTAGACCTATTGCATACAGTATAAGAAAAACAGACCAAAACACAAAAACTTAACTATAACCACATAACCATGAAAATGAGTTCAAGGTCAGATGACACCTGCCAGTTGGACATGTACACCTTACAGTCCTTCCATACACCGAATATACTACACCTATTGCTTATAGTATCTGAGATATGGACTTGACCACCAAAACTTAACCTTGTTCACAGATCCATGAAATGAGGTCGAGGTCAAGTGAAAACTGTCTGACAGGCATGAGGACCTTGCAAGGTACGCACATACCAAATATAGTTATCCTATTACTTATAATAAGAGAGAATTTAACATTATAAAAAATCTTAACTTTTTTTTTCAAGTAGTCACTGAACCATGAAAATGAGGTCAAGGACATTGGACATGTGACGTCTGAAGGAAACTTCGTAACATGAGGCATCCATATACAAAGTATGAAGCATCCAGATCTTCCACCTTCTAAAATATAAAGCTTTTAAGAAGTTAGCTAACGCCGCCGCCGGTTCACTATCCCTATGTCGAGCTTTCTGCGACAAAAGTCGCAGGCTCGACAAAAACCATGAACATGAGGTTAAGTTCAGATAGACCCTGCAAGACAGGCATATTTGTTTTTCATTCATCATTTGTACATAAATCATGCCGCTAGTTTTCTCATTTGAATTTTTTAAATTGTACATTTGTCATTTGGAGGCCTTTTATACCCAACTATGCAGTATAGGTTTTACTCATTGTCGAAGGTCGTATGGTGACATTTAGTTGTTTATTTCTGTGTTATTTGGTCTCTTGTGGAGTGTCTTATTTACAATCATATCACATCTTTTTACTTAATATTTCAATATATACATTTAATAATCATACCATACACCAAATATAATAACCTATTGATTACACAATGTAGCATGTTAAAAGAGGACTTACCATTGACCAATGAACCTTGCAAATGAGGTCAATAACAACTGCCAGACAGACATGTACTCCTTACATTTGTGAATCATTGTATACATATAGTTTATCTACATGTACTTTTAGTATTAGAAAAAACAGACAAAAACACAAAAACATGACATTTAAAAATGACCTATTGCTAACAGTATCTGATAAACAACCCTAATCAGGTAACTTTAACCTTGATCACTGATCCATGAAATGAGGTTGAGATCTTTGTAGCAATCTATATCAATTTGAGTGCATATCTAAATTTACAAAACAATATTAATCTGGATCATTGTGATGCTGTAAATTTAGAAATTATTGTGAGGTTTTTATTAATGCAAATAATGCAACAGGGTGAATATAGCAATAATAAGAACTTGCATTCTGAAAACTGAATTATAGATCTTTAGGCAGATTTTTTTTAAACTCGCAATTGAGTCCATTCGTCAATAAAATGCTTCGCTGGGCGCAGTTTGATACGACCGCAGAGGTCGAACCCTGAACAGTTGGGGCAAGTATGGACACAACATTCAAGCTTGATACAGCTCTGAATTTGGATTGTGATTAAATATTTGACACAGCATAGGTTTCAGACACAGAAAGAATGTGGTCTAAGAACTTAATTTTTTTAATTTACCTATTATGGTCCAATGTCCAAAATCAAAATACATGGTTAGATTCAGCATATCAAAGAACCCCATATATTCAATTTTTGTTGAAATCAAACAAAGTTTAATTTTGGACCCCAGCTTGGACAAACTTGAAAACTGGTCCCATAATCAAAAATCTAAACACATGTTTAGATTCAGCATATCAAAGTACCCCAAGAATTCAATTTTTGTTAAAATCAAACTAAG